CTGATGCATGTATATGATTTCATGGTATATATTAGATAAATAAAAACCACGAAAGCTTGTTCCAGCTGTTTTAACTCAGCGGAATAATTGTGTTTGACCTTTTGCTTTTGTCATCAGACTTCATCAGTCTTCTCATTTAGACAAACTAGTTGAAGAATTTGGTAATAAAGATACACTTTATTCATGAATGATTTCAAGTTGGATAAATGTATGTACACATTATGGTATTGTATATGAATGTATTGTAAATATAATATATAAATATTACTCCTAGTCCTAGCACATTACCCCTGTTTTATCTGCATTGGCTGCCCAGTGTCTTTTAGAATGGATTTTAAAATGATTTTACTGGTTTCTAAAGCTCTTAATGGTTTTTGCACCCACGTATCTCACAGAGTCACTCTCATTGTATGTCCCTGGACGAGCCCTGGGGTCCTCTTCAGCTTTTTTAATATCCCTAAAGTCCCCCAAAATAAAATGGGCGAGGCCGCTTTTATCCACTGCGCCCCCAAACTGAACACCCTACCCTACCAGGACATATCAGAGAGGCCAGCTCAGCGGACATTTTGTAACGCCAGCTAAAGACACATCTTTTTAGATTAGCTTTTTATCAGCAACCCCCCACTTTAAATGGTCTTTTAGTCTTTATTATTTGCCTACTAATACTTAAAGGGTTTTATCTTATATTATATATTTATTTAACAGATTCAATAGCAACATTTATTTTTACGTTGTTTTTTAAATATTTGAATCGTTTAACCTTTATTAGAATTATGAAGTTTTTATTACTATTATATATATATATTTTTTTATTTCTGTTGTACCTATACAGTCCCCTCCAAATCTATTGGAACAGCCAGGACAATTGCTTTATGTTGGCTGTACACTGAAAACAATTAGGTTTGACATCAAAAGATGAATATGAGACAAAAGGTTCAGCTTTTCATTCCAGGTATTTAGATCTAGATCTGTCAATCAATTCAAACAATCAATAGCACTGCATGTCTGCTCTCAGTTTTAGCCTTGGGTTTTGCCTGTGCAGACTGCCTTTTTAGTTAAAACGACATGAAGACTATAGAGCTGCCTATGGGAGAAAAGCACATTTTGAAACTGAGAGAAGATGGAAAATCAGTTGCACAAACATTGGCCATAGCCAGTTAGAATTTCATTAAGAAGAAAGCAAGCACTACTGAGCATCAGACTTCAAACTGGTAGACCAAGGAAAACATCAGCAGTTGATGACAGAAACATCGTGAGAACTGTAAAGAAACATCCACAACAACAGGAGTGAAGGTATCACAATGCACTGTTAGCAGAAGACTTTGGGAACAAAAGTACAGAGGCTACACCAGAAGATGCAAACCACTCATTAGCAATAAGGAAGGCCAGATTCAAAAGTTCTGGGACAAAGTTTTATGGACTGACGGGTCAAAGATGAACCTTTACCAAAGTGATGGAAAGGCTAACGTGTGGAAAAACAAAGGATCTGCTCATGATCCCAAACACACAAGCTCATCTGTGAAACAGGGTGGAGGTGATGTCATGGCATGGTCTTGCATGGCTCCTTCTGGACGGGCTCATTGATCTTCATTGATAATGTAACACAGGATGGCAGCAGCAAAATTAACTCAGAAGTCTACGGAAACATTTTATCTGCCAATTTAAAGAGAGATGTAACCAAACTGATCCTTCATCATGCAGCAAGACAACGACCCAAAACTCACTGCCAAAACCACCAAGGAGTTTATCAGGGAAAATAAGTCAATCTCCAGACTTAAACCCTTTTGAGCATGCTGCAAGCCCGCCTTAACCTGCCATCAGGCCCTGGTTTTGGTAGGGCCTCCTATAACAACACATCAACGTTATTTACATAAGCCTCTGCAGGCTCTGTGATCACCACACACACACACACACACACAAAGGCACACACACAGACACAGCACACACACAACACACACCACACACACACACACCACACACACACACCACACACCACACACACACACACCACACTCACACACACAACACACACACACACACACATCACACCACACACACACACACATCACCACACATCACACACACACACAACACACACACACCACACACCACACACACACACCACCACCATAATTGAGTCACCATGAACAGGCAACATATGGCCGGGTCAATGCAGGTATCAGTAGATGAGAATGATCATTACTCTCCGTGGAGTTAACCACAAACCTAGTCATGTAAAAACGATGCACAGACACTTTAAACCTGCAAGGCTACTGGGAATCAATGAATAGTGCAGCATTGCCTTACCTCTTTAGCAGTGCTTCCGAAAAAGCCTTTATGATGTTCTTAAAATCCATCTCACGAAGAATGTCATGCTCAATTGACATCAGTGTTAGGTTTCCTTTTCCGAACGCCACTCTCAAACTTTTTCTTCTCCGAAATTGTCTCCTAAACAACCTTCATCTGTCACTCAATCACTCGCAATTTGAATAAGTCACATGTGAAACCTATTCTCATTCTGATTGGCTGTTAAGTGGTGCCCACTGATTGTTACGGAGTCATCATTTTTGAGAAAAATCTCTGGAATCCATCGATCTGATTGATTAGCGGAGCCAATGATCAAAATAGTATGGAGGGAAGATATTTTCGTTTGGATTACTGGTCTGGAGGAAGCTCGCGAGTGTGTGTGTGTGTGTGTGTGTGTGTGTGTGTGTGTGCGTGCGTGTGTGTGTATACGTGTGTGTGTTTGTGTATTTTTGCGTTTGTGTGTATTGTGTTTGTTTCCCCGGGGAAAACACTCACGAGAAACACCGGCTGTTGTTATGCCTGCTGTCACGTCAAGCTACTCCGTTCTCCGCTTGTAATTATGCCGTTACAAGCTTCAAAGTTGTATTTATCATCTGAATTTGCCGAAACAAGTTAATATTCTGAAAGCCAAGACTTTGTTTATTTGAAATCAGATGAAAACAAATGGATTATCTTAGCCGTGTTATCTATGATTACTATACGCCTTACATTCATAATTTCAGCGGAGGGAGGGGGAGCGGCGCTGTGGAACAGCAGGGTGGCGAGGGAGGAGCTGTCTTCTTCCCTTTACAAAGCTTCAAAAAATGTATTTATCGTGTGATTTTGGAAATAAAAGTTTCATATTCTGAAAGCCAAGACTTTGTTTATTTAAAATAAAAAATAAAACACCCGAAATAAAAATAATTATTTTTTTATTTTTGATTGGCTCATGATAGGCCCTCGATCTCCGTAGGCCCCTGGGCTTCAGCCCAGGTCAGCCCGTGCATTAAGGCGGCCCTGAGCATGCATTATAGCTGCTAAAGAGGAGACTGAAGGGAGAAACCCCCCAACACAAACTACAACTGAAAGAGGCTGTGATGAAAGCCTGGAAAAGCATCACTAAAGAAGAAAGCAAAAGTGTGGTGATGTCCATGGGTTGCAGCAGGCTTGATGCAGTTATTGCAAGCAAAGGATTTGCAACTAAATACTAAGTATTATTCACTTTTCACACTTTTTAAGTCTGTTCCTAGACTTTTGCTCACATGAAAAATGGGTGGGTTTAAACAAAAGGTGCTATCTTCTCAGTTGTTGAACAGATCTCGATCTAAATACCTGGAATGAAAAGCTGAAATACTGACCTTTTGTCTCATATTCATCTTTTGATGTCAAACCTAATTGTTTTCAGTTCACAGCTAAAATAAAGCAATTGGGCCTCGCTGTTCCAATAGTTTTGGAGGGGACTGTATGTTCACTTTATTCTATAGGGTTTTATATTGTTGCATCTATTCACTTGTCTTGTGTCTTATCTTTCTGAGAGAAATCATTATTTATTTTATTTTTATTATCATACCTTTTACCTCCTTCTGTCTCTTAACCTGTTACAATGTTATATTTTGCTGCATGTATCTGTAAAGGTTTTAACATCTGATCTGAGGGGAATTTCTTGTTGTTTATTTTTAACTTGTGATGTGTGCCATTTTGTAAAGCACTTTGAGCTGCAAGTGCTGTATGAAAAGTGCGATATAAATAAAGCTTTATTATATATATATATTCAGGATGTTTGTGTGTGTATATATATATATATATATATATATATATATATACATATTATATATACACATATACTGTACATCCTGGGAAATGTTACAATATGCGACAAATATGTTAATATATATAGATAATAGTAAGGTAATACACAGGTAATAGTTCAAAGAGGACAACTGGGAAAAACCTGCTTTCTTGTGGCCACAAGGCACACATAATCACATAGTGATACATCCGGTTAACTAAATATATGTAGTAACGCAGTGTTTCCACTGGAGGGCAGTGTGTATTTGTCTAACAGTGTTGTATCCATATACAGATGGTTACAACCAGTCTATGGTTACGACTCTACCACTCGCGCGCTGATTTTGACTCTCAGCTGAGCTTCTGTCCAGCAATACTTCATCCCCTCAAGTCCTGTTCTGTTTTTTTGGAATCTTTGGCTCCTGCTGTACTCATCATACAGGTCTCCCTTGAAAAAGAGATCTATGATCTCAATGGGACCAATCTGGATAAATAAAGGTTTGAAATGAAATGAAATGAAATGAAATCCTTCCCTATATAAAATACTCCGGTTTGTTTATAATTTCTCCGAATATCTCAGTTGTTCCACCACTATTTAGCTTTTAACTCATGGACTGTTTTAACCTAATCAGAGTATTACTTAGACTGACTGTATTCATAATCGAGATGCCCTCCGGTGGCCACAACAAGTAACTACACTACTAGTGTCAAGTTAGAGTTAAACACTCAATAACTGCAACACTTCCGCTAAATACTTTCAAAAATAAAACGTTTACAATTGACATAACTCTATAGCTCTGTGACCACAGTCTATGGTTGTGAGTGACTTAAGGTTGCAACTGCTATTCTATTTACATTTCACTATGCAACATGTTGTAATTTTAGTTTTTTATTAGATATATTGTAAAAGCTGCCCGGAAGCCGTTTGTTATTATTACTCTTTTACGTCCGTCGTCAGGTCAAACTTCCTGTAAACTTTTTTTTGTTTTGTTATTTAACTTTTAAGGTTGAGTTTTGCTAGGTCGATACAACCCTATGTTTGTGGTTTGTGCACTTTACTTTTTTTTTTAAATCAAAAGTAACATGAGAGGCAACAAACTGAGGCTAATCTAAGGCTACTTAAAGGAAGCAACCCCATCATGGCGGCCGCCACAAGACTCATATCAAGGTTGACACTGGTCACTGGTATGTTTATAATTTCCCCTTCTTCATTCACCGTGTATTAATAGGTACAGACAGACAGACAGACAGACATACGTGCAGTGTGCTAATCTCTGCAGGACTTTATGTTTTTCGTTAGTCGCGGGCAAATGTTTGCTACGTGCAACTGTTTTGTAAAGGTAAACTACTCGAATAACCTTGGGGAAGTTTAAAGTAAATTATTATAAGTTTCTCTTGGCTCACAACTAGTTAGAGAGCCCTTGGGTTTTGCTTTTGCCTATTTACATTTTAGCTCTGATCCATGACTTTGAAAAAGGATTAGCCTACCAGCTTTACATTCAGTCATTTCAATATAGAGCCAAAGTATGACTGTAGCTCTAAATCATATTTAGGACTAATTATATATTAATTATATGAATGATCAAATTGTTGATAATAGTAAAACATGAGTACACTTTCCCTGAGTCTTGTTTTGTCTAAGTCCAACACTCAAAGATCATAAAAAACAGTGAAGCAGATTATCCTACAATTCATTCAAGTGATTCATAGACTAGTCATTTCAGGTTAAATGTAAAAGCTGAAGTATCATTGGTCTTTTACAACAACAGACAGCGGAAGCTATTGCTTTTTAAAATAAAAATCAACGTAGGTTTATTTAGTTTTTAGGGAGGAAGTACAAATACACAAAAAAAAGTCACTAAAGTTTAACAATACATGTTGTCAATATCATAAAGCAAGACATGCACATTGATGTTGCTTGAACATGGAACCCTAACTTTTGACCTTTTCCCAATCAAATGTCTCGATAAAGGAAGTCCTGGCACACACATTATTCCTCCTGCACACCACACCACATCTAAATAAAAGTGACTCGATGGGTCGACCCATGTGTTGCTCTGACTTCCTGTTGCTCTCTCCCCACCCAGGAGGAGGCAGTGGGATCGGGCGGGCGGTGTGTCAGCGCCTCGCCTCTGAGGGCGCCTCCGTGGTGGTCGCTGACATCAGCGAGGAGTCGGCCCATGACACCCTGAGGAGCCTGCAGAGGGACCTCAGAGGGCAGGGTCACATGGCGGCTGTGGTGGATGTGTCTTCAAAAGAGAGTGTAAAGAATCTTGTCACAAGAATACAGGTGTTTACTACTGCCCAAAAACAATCAACACACTGTGTGTTTAATTAAAGTCAAGCTGCAACATTCTCCATTCAATTTTCCCCTTCTATCTTTTCTGTTAACAGTCAATGCTCTCCCTCTGCAGACTCACTACTTTCAGCCTCCGTCAGTGTGTGTGAACGCAGCAGGCATCACCCAGGACGACTTCCTGCTCAACATGGACGAGGATCATTTTGACAATGTCATCCGGGTCAACCTGAAGGTACGCAGCCTGTACCGCAAAGCTTATCGTAGAGGTTAGTGAGTTAACTCATTTAAAATATAGGTACACTTTAGAGGTTCATACCGTTTGACTACTGACCAATCAGATCACTGGAAAGATGTAGTCATCATTCCTGCAGGATATTTACAGGATCAAAAGCACACATTTTCCAATAAAGTTTTAACCAATAAAGAGCGGTATATATTCTTATGGGTCGGTAGAGTCTTTCAGATGTTCCAGAGATCCGTTAAGATCGCTCTTCCCTCAATGCAGTTTCCAAAACATCAGACAACTTTTTAAAATAAATAACAACATTTCTGTAATAATTTTTAAAATATTTTCCATTTATTTAGCTAGCTTCATTATGAATGCCCCATTTGTATCAGACTGACCTCACCAGGCAGGTACTACCCTTATTTTTCTTATTATCTTGGCAGCAGAAAAGCATGTCTTATATATATATATTTTAATGTGCATCCAACTTTAATAATAATAGTTTATCTTAATACATCAATACTCACTCTAGACATAATACTACTGTATTTGTCACATATAGTCTAAGCTTTATTTTTATTTTTTACTATTAGTAGAAAATGTTGGTTTCTAATTCCAAATAGTTTACCATTTACTCACCTTGTATTACTTTAAATTCTTGACGAAAGCTTTGTTTTTCTCGCATGGTGAATTTCTTAATGAATGTAAGTACATTTGCAGCGTGTTTAAAAAATAAAAATAAACAAATGCTAAACTATAGATAACCTAACAATTAAAGTGTGTTAAACATTTAGGTATGGTTTAAGTAACAATGCATGTAGTGAGTCTGAGACGAAAAGAGGGAGACTTGTATTGTACTGCATCAGAGTTGGTTGCAGTTAAAGTGGCCCGGATTGATAACAATTCATCAAGACTTTCCCATTTAAAAAATGAGTTCACTGTGGAGGTTTGCGAGAAAAAAAACGTTCTTCTCGTATGGAAGGTCATTCGTAGTGAGAGATTGAAATACAATCTTCTGTAGTGTTCCTTTCATTGCCCTCTCAGTGAAGTCAAATCTGTTTTACACAGCATGAAAGTGAAAGTGAGCATGAATATGAAATGCACTTCCCTCCCTGCATCCCTCCCAGGGTTCTTTCTTGGTCCTTCAGGCCGTGGCTCAGGCTCTGGTGGCTTGCGGAGCACCCAAAGGATCCATCGTCACCGTGGGCAGCATCGTGGGAAAGGTGGGAGCGTGGTCTCTCTAATAAGTAGCTTTAAGGTTTTTATCCAGAAGGGTAAAACAATAAAAGTGACATTGGAATCGTGCCCAAATATTAAAGCTACAGGTTAGTGGTTAGTGGCAATTGTGGTTCTGAACTTTTATAGCAGTTTTCTAAAGTGTGAAGCATAAGACACAAGAATACACTTTCAGAAATCTATCAAGAATATATTTGTATTCTTAAATAGAGCAGGAATGCCAGACTATTTTTTAGGAGCTGGTTAATGAGTTGTTCAGTCCTCTCTGAGGGGGGGGGGGACCTTTTGATGTTCCATAACAAAACCTTAAGTGATGCTGAACTTGATGCATCCCTGTGTCGGTTTCCTTAATGCTCGTAGGTGGGAAACATCGGACAGGCCAATTACTCCGCCTCTAAAGCAGGAGTGGAGGGTTTGACCAGGACCGCGGCCAAAGAGCTCAGCAGGTGAGAAGAGCCTGAAGCAACAAACACATCCTGACCCACAGTGATGGTGAGTACAGTGTCATACAATATAATAATCTGCTTTCTTTGTCCATTGCTACAGGTTTGGCATTCGGTGTAATTGTGTGCTGCCAGGTTTCATATCCACTCCGATGACGGATAAAGTTCCAGAGAAAGTTATTAGCAGGGTAACGCACACACACGCACGAGAACATACAGATTAAATAACACTTCATCTATTAGGTTTAAAATCCTAACTCAGATTGTAACCTCCCGTCGTAATTCTGAACAGTGATTACTATGCAGTTTATAAAACTACTTATATTTTGTGCTGGAAATTACATTTTGTGCATTTCAATAAGTGAAGCCATTTCAAGTCCAAGATGTACCAAACACAAACTGTTATTTAAAACAACATGAAAATTCATTTTTTTCCAGTGTATAATTCATCACTAAACACCTCTTTTAGTAAACACATTTCTTGCCTCGATTTGAGTTTAAAATGCAGTCACTTTGACCTCCCTACAGATAAGATAATTCAAAAAACCTTTATTGATACAGCCTTAAATCTGCTCTGTCATGTTTCATTGTGTTTCAGATGAAATCCTTGGTGCCTCTGGGAAGAATGGGTGAGCCTGCAGGTCAGTGCTGGCTCATGTTAACATCACTGTGTTCACCGCAGACCTTCAGTCTTTATTTCACTGTATAGGATTGTAAAGGAACTTTTCTAAGCTCATGAATCTAAACTAGAAAAAGGTTTTACCGTTGGACACAAAACCATTTGAAATGCTGTTTTTTGTAAATACTTATTTCTTCTTAACTTCCCCAGACCTCTGATTCTTTTGTTCTGTTAAGTGAAATGAAGTCCAGGGATGTAGATTGACCTGCCTTCTCTTTGTCCTCCTCTAGAGGTCGCTGATGTCTGTGCCTTCCTCGCCTCAGATGACTCTCGATACATCACTGGAGTCAGCCTGGAAGTGACAGGTGGTGTGACTCAGTTCTCTCACAGCTGTTTCTGTAAAAACTCTACTGTCATTTCATCGTCTTCAACATGTGTTCTTTCTTTGTAAGGTGGACTCTTCATTGGGTAAATGGACTGTCTGTCACACCGATGAAGACCAATGGGAGGCCAGTTTCTTCGTAGTTCATTTAAATGTTGAAAATGATACTACTTTGATAATTATGTTTTAAAATTGTGGTTGTGCCAATAAACACCTGTTTGTAATATTTCTGTACAGAATGTTGTATTTTGATTTGAAAGATCTGAATAAAGTGTTTAACTAAAGCCTTCAGACGCCTGCACTGTCCTAAACTCTCATCCTAACCCCGCTCAGAGGGCGGACCGGAATCAAACTTACTCCAGATCTTCAGACCGCTCTGTCACACCACTGGAGCCTCTCAGGATTATCTTTGTGCTTTAAAAGCTTTTCTTCTGATCCTCTGTAGGTTGGTGATGGAAACACTTTTGGTTAAGTTAAAGCACTGAAAAGGGTTTGGACCGCTGAGCTCTTTAAAGGGCGCTCCACTCTGATAATGAGCTCATCTGCTTTCGCTGCAGCATAGTTTACCGTAAACATCAAATAAAAGCACACTATGGTAAGTCCAAAATATTTTTAAAACATGCCATAGAATAGTACCTCGAAAATATCATAAAAAACAACAGTATAGCATTTTGGAAAAAAGAATATCAAAATAAACAAGTTTGTCTAATTTGTGTTCTAGTATTTTGAAGAATAACGGAAACGACATAATGGTATAATAACTTGAAAATATATAATATTATAATAAATGTCAGACTACAGTATTTGAATGAAATACATGGTAGAGTGTCAAAAATATCACAAAAATCACCATAGTACCATATGCTGTATATATCAGGAAAAAGTCATAGTATGGTGTGTCCAAAAAAAAGGACACAGAATAGTATGTTTCAATGACTACTTTTTACGATGTTGTATTTTTAGTGTTGCCTCTGCCTGTGTTTAGTGTCCTGTCTGTCTGTAACTTTGTGTGGTCGTGTTACCACTGAACAGGTCTCTCTTGAAAATGAGACCTTGTGTCTCAATGAGATTTTGTACACCTGTATAAATAAAGGCTAAATAAAAATAAAAAAATCAGAAAAAACTAAATATTATAGTAAATCGAAATTATGAGAAAAAAACGACATGACATTGAATGTCGGAATTTTCAGAAAAAACGCAATGGTATTGTATATGTTGACAATATTATAAAAAACGACATAGTGCAGTATTTTTGAACAAAAGTCATTGAAACCTTTGTCCAAAACTGTAATGAAAAACAACATAAAGTGTGTCAAATGAATGTAATGTTTTACATTTATATTATGTATAGTATGTAAAAAATATCAGAAAAAAACAAATAGTATAGTATGTTGAAAATATTATAAAAAACGAGATAGTATAGTATGTGAGAAAAATATCATAAAATGCCATAGTATAGTTTGTTGATATATGAAGAAGATGCAGGTACAGCATGTCAACAAGTCATAGAATAGAATACTATGTATATACTGTATTGTGATGTTCTTATGGAACACTGACATTTTGTACTTTTCTATACTAAAGAAATACTTTATACTATGATATGAAGTATTTGCAGCACACAAACTATAATATACTTTACTATACTCAACTATACTATATTATAAATTATGGCATACTATATCATTTACCTCCCATCTGATTTTCACTTCTAACTTCTGATATTTCCATCAAATTGCTACAGTTCTCTAACAGCAGTAGCATTTAAGATACATTTGCAAGGTGTCACAATGTACCCATAAGCTTTACACAAAGTGTCCTATAACCTGACACACTCCTCCTGTCAGGGCTCCGCAGTGTTTTGTCCACTGAACAGAATATTATGTATTGTCTTGTAATTTCCCCCCACTCTAAAGAACCTGAACAAATGCAAAAAGATCGACAACAACTAAAGATGAGGGGGCGTTGGAAGGAAAACAAGAGTCAAGCAGCTCTTTTCAAAAGATGATATATTACAGAAACAAGACTTCTTTTAAAAATTACTTACACACATTATAAAATAATACTTTTTTCTCTTTTCAGCACCATATTTCTTATGTTAAAACATTTGTCTTCAACACAATAAAACAAATATTGAGGTAATTCTCTCTGGAGAATCTCAAGGTCAGATTTGTTTTCGTTTTTTAGGTTTAGGCCATCCCGCCCGGTTTCCCTGCTATAGTAAAAAAAGACAAATAGAAAAAACAGAACTAGTATGATATCACCCCATAGCCACATTATACTTATAAACAATACTCTTATGAATCACTTTTAATCCACTGGTGGCTAACAGAGCTGTCTCCACCCTCTCACAACCTTTCTCCTCCCCGCTGTGCATGTCTCAGATAGAAATGTCAAAGATCAGAAGAGTATTTTCAGCTCCTGAATGTAGAACTGTTCTTGTGTTGCAATTGAAAGCCCTGTTACGCAATAATCTGAGCCTGAAACCAATGAACCACCAGTCAAACAGTAGCAACGACAAGGACATGTGACAGAACTGGAGAGTCACCATTTAATCATTACAGAGGAAGCAAAATGTAAAAGCACAGTACAGTCGTTGAAAACACTATAAAGGGATGTTACAATCAAATATGGCCACAGATTCTTTGGTTCTACAAAAGGAGTTTGGACAGGGCGTGAACAGAAGCACCATAACTCAGGCTGGCAGTGAGTCTAACATGTGAGGCACTACAGGAAATAAATACAATGAAATATACCACATTTGACTGGAATATTTGGTGGTCCGTGTATTTTTAATTTCAAAGCACCCTGTTTGTTTTTAAATAAATACAATAGAATATCACTATTTCTGTACAAATGTAATGCACATTTCCCCCAGTTAAAGCTTCATGGAAAGAGAATAAAGGAAATGAAGGACTCAAAGTGAATATTAAGACTTTTATGCTTTGGTATAAGTAACACCTTGCCACACAGTTTCTTTCAGTAAGGCAGGCATTTGATTCACTGCTGTTTAAGAAAAAGAAGGCGGGACCTTTTCATCTCATATACATATTTAAACCCTGACGATGTTCTGAGCTGTGATGAGAAATCAGATGGAAAACAATATTCAAAGGCCCCCAGAAAGTGACTCAGCAAATACTGGACTGGTGTGTGGTAGCGACCCTGGTAGCCTGATCCTGGATCTGAAGAAGAATCAGCTCTTTTTGAAAAGCACAAGTAACATGCAATTACAATAGTGTCAAGTTCAGCACAGTTTACAACATAATGGCTTTATTCACTGATCTAGGATCTTCTTCTTGCCTCACTGCATGCTTTATTAGAGGTGAACAATCCAACTAAGGTTTCTGCTGCTCTCAGGGCGGAAAGATTGCATTATACTGGCCTGAATCACATTTGATTATTAAAACTGCAAGGTGTTCATTAAAAGAATATGACAATAGACAAGTGGCAGCTTAAAATACACAAAAAACAGCCAGCTGGTATCATTTGGTTAATTCTCTCCTTTTTTCTGGGTAGAAACTGGTGGCTTTAATTCTTTGGTTCTTTTCTGTGTAGTAAGATAAAAGCTAGGGAGATCATTGTGTTTTCATTGTGAGCAACATGATTGACAAGTCACTGGATTTCACAATAAGACAACCAGAGGAGTAAGACCTTACGAAGAAAGATTGATCTGAGCCGCTGATGAACTTTTGCGACCACTGGCTGTGATTTAACAGACACAGTTTGGTTTCTACTCTTTTCATTGGTTTGGAATTTGGTTCATGAGTCAAAGGCTAATGCCAAGTGATGAAAAGTTGATTCAAAACTTTAAATCCAGAGTAACTTTCTATACGAATGACTAAAGGCCAAAGCAGTGAACCAAAACCACGATGCTGAAACAGTAGATGCAGACAGCTACATAGGAGCGTCTTGCACCTATTGTTAAAGGAGTGACTGTCAAACACATTGCTTGCAGTGGGAACGCGGAATCAAAGAAATTGAAATAATGTCCAAGAGTGACCCTTTTTCGGGAAGAGGAGGGGGGAGGTAGAGCAGGTGAGATGAGTGGGAAAAAAGAGAGACAGCGGGGAAGAGAGAAAAGTGAGAGGGGGTCGGAGACGGGGGGCTTCAGGCCTCAGGCTACCGGCTTGCCCTCTGTCTCAGGCCGGCCCCTGTCGCTGCTGGTAAAGAAAACACTGTTTTATTCCGAAGAACTCTCCTGGTTTTTCCGTCCTTTCTCGCGGTCGTGCGCCCAAACGATGGTCTCCTCTCCGCGAGTTTCTTTCTTCTTCTCTCCTCTTTACTTTTTTTTACGTCCATTATTTGTCGGGAGGATGTTGCTTTCCCCAGGCACGTACGTGAGTGTGAGGGCGTGTTTGTCTCACAACAGCATCTGCGTGTGTAAGTGTGTGTGTCTGTGGGTTTGTGTGTGTGTTTCATATCATTTACAAGTTAATTTACAAATTACTGGGCATGTATGTTTCTTATATATAAGTGTGTCTCTAAGTGCATGTGTGTGTGCGTGAGTATTTGCACGTGTTGTTCTTTGCATGATGTGTGTATGTGTGTGTTTTTAGCCTTGGAAACAGACAGGTCCCACTTCAAAGCCAAACTGCTGGTTGCTCTCCCCAAAGTCTGACACCTTGATATCCAGCAGAGGGAGATGCTCCACCTGGGGCGTGTTGATCTCCAGGACTGTCCTGTCGAAGCCCTTACGATACTGCAGGGACAGAAGGAACACACCGGTCAGAAACTGGTATCAAAGTATTCAAAGAAATACAACGCTGTATAATTGTCATTTTTCTCATCTGTGTATCATGACTTTGAATTAAACAACTTGGAAAGAGAGTTAAACATAATAACTGATGCACTTTAGATCTGGGTTGTCGATGCTTGAAAATCACTACAGATTATTATTATTATTGATTACAAATAAATGAAAACATATCTTGTGTGATTTCAAGAAACATATATCCAACAGGCAGTAGATCAAAAAAGGCAACTCTCAAGAGTCTTAAGTTAAGCTAAATGCATACTTCAAGTGCACTTTATTGTGATGCCAAAGTGAAGGAAGTCAACGTATTCATTCTCAAATGTTAATAACCAAATATAGAAGCACGTTGAATGGTTGTAGAGGAAGGTAAGGGGCCCTTTGAGGCTATTAACATTCAAGGTCTTATTAAATAGTTTCATTATGTTCTAAATGTGATGTATTATCTTTTGAAACATGATGTTTAGGAGGGACGTAAGACAGGAGGGATCAATCTACAGTGCAAACCAAGTGTTGTTTGGTTTAAGAGGGCCTTTATTTGAGGTTAGGAGATGAAAGGGGGAGACAGAGGGGTGGCCTGAAATATTGGTCCAGCTTGGGATTCGACCGGCTTACAGGCAGCGGTGACTGCATTACAAATCAATTGTATATAAATGGGAGAGCCAGTTTAATTGATAGGAAAGGAAGAATGGCAGACTGTTCAGAAATGGGTTATTGTTGTTGTTGTTGTTATATAGTGCAGCATGGAATATTTCATGTTTGAAGGATATTCTACATTGTAAACCAATAATCATTCATATGTGTTAAACAGGACGGCATCAGTTTTCCATGTCACTCACAGAGCAGCCGTCGACCAGGGCCTTGATGTAGGGGCTGGTCTCGTAGGTCAGCCTCTCGTCGTTGGCCCCCTGGAGGTGCAGCGCCCGGTTGTGGTTGTTCTTGGCGCTGCGGTCGGCCCAGGCCACTGAGCGGTGGCAGTGGTAGGTGAGGTTCTGGCGGGCCTGAACGCTCAGGAGACGCAGGAAGCCAAGCTGGACCACGCCCACCGGCTCACCAGCAGAGTCCACGTAGGAGAACTGGGAGGGGGTGGCAGAGTGAAGAGGAGGGGAGGTATTTGATGGGCGTTTGAGGAGGGGAAAACAGATAATAGGATGGGAAAAGAAGTCAGAAAGAGAAGACAGATTGTGAGAACCAATACACGGTAATCAAGTTAAGAATTCTTTTTTTTGTTACTATAAACACAAGGTTTACTATCTGTCTTAATGTGACAGAGGGTTACTAACCTTACTACCAGTGGTGAACTGACTGTACCAGGATCCTGGAGTCTCATTGTCCCAGGAGCTCATCTTCACCTGCCGCAAGAAATTTCAACATTGTCAATACAAATAAATACAGCTTATGTGAGAAATTAAGAACAGTCAAGAACATGAGTCTCTAGAACAGGGGTGTCCAAACTTTTTTCACCGAGGGCCACATACAGAAAAATATATACGAAGGGCTGGGCCACTCACTAGAGGTGAGTTACAGTATATTGCCTCATAAGTTCAATTATAAGTTAGCAAAATCAATCAAATGTAGGTAAATCATGCTTGATACTTGAAAATGCCTTAAGAAAAAAACAGCCTACATCAAAGCTCTCCATAGGGATTCATTTATTCTGTTACAAACAGTGTTGCATCTCATCCCTTAAAACAAAAACCTCAGACTGCTTATAATAAGGAGAAATAGGAAGGGTGTATTTCAAGCTTGTTGTGTTAATAAGTCATTGGGCTTTTTTCTTATCAACTTAAATTTGTTTCCAACTTTAATTGTCTGAATTTATTTGAAAAGTGGGCTTATTAACATTCATTTACTGTGTAATATATGTTTTAAATATATATTTAAGAAGTACAATATAAGACAAGCACAATTTTCAGGTGTGGGCCATATTTCATTACTTATAATGATATATTGTATTATAATTTGCTGAGGGCTGATACAAAATGGCCCACCGGCTGCATTTGGCCCCCGGGCCGTAGTTTGGACACCCCAGCTCTGGAAAGAGGGGGGTCTGATACAACATACTGTACTCTTAACAATGTTTAGTTTAATGGTTTTATAACTTGCTTAGTGTTTACATTTCACAGTATTTTTAGGAGACTGATTTGCTGGACTGACCGAGTTGATGCTCGTGCTCGGGTACAGGCACGTCTCTGCTCCGCTGGTGAAATTGCAGAAGACCTTGAGGGAGTCTCTGGAGCAGCCCTGGTTAGGGTCAATCCAGTACTCTCCTGAAGAGGGCAGCAGAGAGACAAGGTCAAAACATCTGTTAAATCTCTCAAGACTCAAGTTAAGTTAAGAACTATCTCTACTGTGTGGGACAATCCCCTTACCGTCTTTGAGGTCTGGCTGGCTGAGGTGCAGGTCTTGGCAGGTGCGGGCGGGGCTGTCCTGGGTGCCCAGAGGGAAACGCATGGTTTCGATCTCCTGTCGCAGTGAGTTGAGAGAGCCGAAGATCTCCTCCATGCCTTCGCTGCCCATCAGGAACTCAGCGCCAGTGGCGTCAGATGCAGGCATTTCTGAGTCGGTTTCAGAGAGCAGCTGGCTGGCGTCGATGGAGCGCTTGGACTTGGGACTCCTCTGGATGGGCAGGGGCTGAATGACCTCTCCTGGTGGGCCCTGTGGAGTGAACATTGTAATCAATTAGCTGGCAATCAACATTGAGGTGCAAAGTATGATGGAAACTTCTGAACAATGGAGAGGAAACTAAGAGAGACACGGGGAGATCTGGAGCTTGATGGCAAACACTGATGGTTTATGGAGTTAATAGCCGGATCTGCTCAGCCACGAGGTGACACAGCGGCTGCCAAACCAATTCTGAAGATCTCTACCCCAGACCCATGTATTTAGCTGGTTCTGAGAGCATACCCCCCCCCCCCCCCCACACAAACACAATACCCCCCCCTCACAAACAATAACACAGACTATAACACCCCTTGTTGTGAAATACCAACCAATTATATGCAATTATGCAATATATATATATGCCGTCAATAGCTGTGCAATATATACCTGGCTGCTAATACTCAGAACTGTTACAGGATGTGTATTTTGTAAATTGTGTAACTTTTTTAAAATAATTTTTTATGCATGCTTCTTAGGTAACATTAAGCTGTCTTTGGCTCTTTTCTGCTGTAACAATGTAAATGTCCCCTCTGTGGGACTAATAAAGGTATTCTGATTCTGAATAATTAACATTGTGCAAGATCAAACAGGAACAATAACACCTCTATCAGCTGACGCCAAGAGGCAGGAACAGGAAGACAAAACACTGATAAACTGGGTCAAAGTTATGGGTCTAGGAAAATATTTCCCCAACACAAAGTAGTGATTTACATTAAAGTGAAGTACTTACAGGGGCTCCAGCAGGTCCTTGTACACCCTTTTCTCCCTTTGCACCAGATCCTCCCTAAACACAGCAGAGAGGAGAAAGATTCAAGAAGCATTACTGCAACAGGTCCCAGTTCATTCACTTTTTGTAGAACATTTCCTTCATTTTTTAGGTACAAACATCGTTAAAGTATACTCACAGAAGAACCCTTGGCGCCTTTGACACCTTGAGGACCCTGGAAAAGATATGAGGCATTATTTTAATGATGGTGACCATTGTTGAGTGTTTTTCTGCTGTCATTTATTAGGGCACTTAAGAACATATTGGAAATAAGAAACAGGAAATGAGATGTTCATGGGACATAAAGTGCATTCACTCACAGGCAGACCAGGAGGACCAGCAGGGCCGAAGGGTCCGGAGGCTCCAGCCATTCCCTGTAATAAAACACAAGACATGTCTAACATTAGATAAAGAACAACTAAATACAATTGAAGGTCAATAATGCTGGTTGATTTGGCCCTCTATAAGAAAGATAAAGAGGTCAGACTTACATTTTCTCCTTTAGATCCCAGAGATCCATGAGGCCCAGGAAGACCTCTGTCTCCTTTCTCTCCCTGCTCTCCTGAGGGTCCAATGAGACCAATAAGACCTGGGTGTCCCTTCTCTCCCTTGCCACCGGGGTCTCCACGAAGGCCAGGCAAACCGGGAGGTCCCTGCAGGAATAGAAGAAGAGAAGGAAGAGTTCAGGAGGTTAGAAACAAAAGAAACAGTTGATGATGAGAGAGGGTGAGGGAGATGGAAGACAGGAAGAGGGAAGTGGCGGTATTGGATGAGAAGGGCACTGAATGTACTCTATGTCCAAGTGCAGAGTAGAAGTAAACACACAAATAAAAAGGCATTTGGATCTTACAAGAGGTCCAGCTGGTCCTTTCTGTCCAGCAAGTCCTGGAGTTCCTTGCTCACCCTGAAACATAGAAACACTTTAGGAAGGTGGTGGACATCCAACAGATATGAAATATACTTGCTACTAATGAAAATGGCTTTATCTACAGTGTCCACAACATGAAATCCAACTCTTTACTGACCACTGATCCGGGGAGTCCTCTGAGACCTTCTGTTCCTGGTTTTCCTGGTTGACCCTGAGGGCCGACGGGGCCAGTTTTTCCTGGGGCCCCGACAGCACCTGAGTCTCCCTGTGAACGATGATGACAATAAAGATGGTTATGCATCTTTTAAAAAGTTGTTGCATGCATTACCTTAAACTCTGGTGGTATAGATATATCACAGAGAAAATACATATATTCTCAGGCAAAAGGCAGAGTATGTGATTTAACCTGGGATCAATGACGGAAATGATCGTTACCGGGAAGTGTGACAGCGATCTAATGCCAATTTGGTACATTGACAGTATATTTGTATTGATTGGCATGAGTTAGAGAGGGAGCTTAATAATGGAGGTAAAGGCTCTGGACTCACCTTAGTTCCCTTCTCTCCGTGACGTCCCTCTGGTCCTCTTGTTCCAGCAAGACCCTGGAAAAAGATGAATAAAAAAACACAAAATGACGACTATATTCTGTAATCAAATTGAATTACTTGTCTGTCAAATATAGCCTTTCAACAAACCGATATAGACTACTGAAGCTCTACCAAGTACTATAAGCCTGTCTTGATAGTCATGTTATCATCTTATTGTAAATTATATATTACATCAATAATATATACTAAGCTGGCTTCCTTATTGCCCGTTGTGTTTACATGCGTGTTTCTTTACATGTTGACGTCACAACATTTGAGGTAACATGATGCCAGAATAAACAGCAGGGTTTATTTATTTACTATTATCAGACCTGGGCGATGTGGAGAAGAGGCCATTTTGTAAACAGAGCCAGAGAGTCCATTTTATAAATAGTTTTTGGTTGTATTTCGTTTTTATTTATTTAGAATATATATATATTTTCACATTTCAACACCAATGTGAATATTCTTAAGAATAAAAGATAATTTATCTTTGAATTTATGTTCTTGCATTATTATGATAGAATTTTTACGAGATCCTACATTTATTTAAAAAATGACAATAATATCTTGTATCGCAGTTATTTGTCTCTCAATTCTCAAAGCATACGACATAGGCTGACATAGCATAACTCTACACACAATACAACAGCAGAATGGATGCATGATTGAATTCATGACAGCCACTGTGCGCTTTTAAAAACGTTGTGTTAGGAACAGGTGCACGTTAAATGAGGTTGGTGACCTTACCCTCTTTCCCAGGGGGCCGGGGGGTCCGTTCTCACCAGAAGGTCCAGGGGAGCCCTGCGTTGGGAGGCAAAGACAGCAGATTGAGGACCCTGAGACACTTTCATTACGCTTAACTGACATATCTGCATTGTTGCATTTTTTGACTTACAGATTCTCCTTGTTCACCATCTTCTCCTCTCTCTCCCTTGGCACCATCTTGACCCTGAAGTAAAGCATATCAGGGTTAGTCATTTTTCCTTTATGTTCAGTTAAGTTAAAAAGACAACAAGTGTGTGGAACAAGCGGAATTGTTGGAGGCGTGCAGTCACATCATAACATAGCTTTGAAAACTAAAACAACAGAATGCTGTATTCTTCAAAACAGGGTACTTACTCTGGGTCCAAGCTCACCAGGGGGACCATGATCACCAGGGAAACCAACAGGACCCTGACATTAGAGACAAAACAAAACTCTACTTAAACAATGGAGTTCAAAATCAGATTTTATGACCATACGATTAGGAGTAGGAAGAATCGTTTGAGTCTCTGTGTCAATCATTGTGTGTATGGTTGTGTTTGTTTCATGGTGGGTGTCTTACGGGGTTTCCTTTGGGCCCGTCATCTCCGGCTCGTCCTCGTCCTCCGGCAGGTCCAGCTGTTCCAGGTTGTCCGGACTCTCCCTTTTCTCCACGCTCTCCACGGGGACCCTGTCGACAGGAGCACAGATCTCATGTTAACTAATTGATACCATTTTTCTAGTCAATAAATCCACAGTTTCTCGATATCGTGATCCAGCAAGTGTTAGGGTCAGACACTCAACCGCTCACCTTCTTTCCGGGCTCTCCTCCAATTCCAGGTGGTCCGCCCTCACCAGCCTCTCCCTATGCAGCAAACAGTATTTTATTTTAGGTATTAGGACAAATTAAAATGATTTCAGAGTGTTATTTATTTGGAAACTATCAAACTCATGCAGAAATAATGCTTCGAAGTAAGTTAAATGTACCTTCTCTCCAAGAGGTCCAGCATTACCCAAACCACCAGGAGGACCTTGAGGACCCTAAAAAACAAAAACAATTCATTTGAACAATCATCATCAGAAAAAAGCGACTTCACTTTTGTATTTACCTACCTAAAAATGACTAGTAAATAACCAGTTCGCCCTACTTAAACTGGTTTGTAAGTGTTGTCCAAAAACCATACCCAAGAATGCGGCTGTTTTTAGATTCAATATTTGTTGTCATTTTGTAAATAAGAGCTGATCACACTTACGTCAGCACCGCTGGGTCCAGCAGGGCCACGGGGTCCTGGAGGGCCTGGAGGACCCTGGAAACATAAGGAGGCTCACGCTTTTATCAACATTTATGATTGTATTTTTATGGAACGAATTAGTGAAGCAGTCATTATGATTGATGTTATGTTTTTCTGAAACTCACCAGAGGTCCAACATCTCCCGTCTCTCCCTTCTCACCTGGTGGTCCTGGCAAGCCCTGCAGGACAGAGGTGACAAACAAAGAATAAGTTTAGCTTAGCAACTTAGCAGAAAGGTTTAGCTAAAAAGATGATCAAAATAAAGTCTTTAATAAAGATTTAATAACAATTTGGATGAAGTGATTGTGTCTTTTATGATACCTGAAGTCCGATGGGACCTGGGGCCCCTGGGAATCCTCTGGTTCCTTCGTCTCCTTTAGCTCCAAACGGCCCCTGCTGGCCTCTTGCTCCGAGCTCGCCATCAGCACCCTGCACCACAGGAGAAGAACACAGATGTAAAGCTTGATCAAATAAGAGATAACAATACATTAGCAGAAAACTTTATCTATACATTGAAAGCTTGACTTGAAGACTCACGATAAAATGTTCAGTAATGATCTGCATAGTGTTTATAGTTTTCCTTATTTAACTAAATATTCATATTTTACATTAAAAGCTGCAACACAATAGTGGTTGTCTTGGGACAATTCCCCCCTGCTTATCTATTTCATAAACTCAATGTTTGTAATGAATAGAAGAACTTTGAGTTTGACAATCTCCGTTTCTTAACAGTAAACTAAACTGGCACCAAATGCAATTGGAAATGCAAATTTGTATACAATGAGGAACAAGTACAACCAACTGGCACGGCAAACTCTCTGTTTTGTCTTCAAAGAATGACATTTTGTACTCACAGCAGGACCAGGCTGACCGACAGGACCCATTGGCCCGGGTGGACCAGGAGGACCCTACCAACAAACAATCATACAAACAATGAGCAAAACTACAAAACAGCAGTGATTCAAACAAATGATTTCCAACCAGAAATAAATCTTAGGGCTTGCTGGAGGTCAGTGTCACTCACATGCTCTCCTTTGCCCCCCTTGCCGCCCTTCTGTCCATGCTCTCCAACCTCTCCCTGCATCAACAAAGACACATCACGTTACAGCGGAGACACGTTTGAGACAAAGCTCCCTGTTAAGTTCATAATAGAATATTACGGTAACCATGGTGATTTTTAAAAAGGACATTTTGGAGTCTTAGAGCTACTGGCCTTGTCTCCGTCCTCTCCAGATACTCCAGGTGATCCAGCAGGGCCGGGCAGACCCACGGGACCCTGCACTCCATCACGACCGGCCGGGCCAATAGGGCCTTTCTCACCCTGAACAGGAGGAATAGAACAAAGAGGACACGCAATTGTTGGTCATTTGTCTTTGACTGGATGGACAATGTCTTTGGAATCTTATTCACAATTTTTTGTTAAATGCACAACTGAATATTTCCAGAAACTTACAGTAACTCCCTTCTCTCCAGAGTTTCCAGGAGGCCCCTGGGGACCTGGTCTGCCAGGAGGTCCAACAGGTCCAGAAGTTCCAGCTAGTCCCCTCTCACCAGGAGACCCCTAGGCAGGAACAATATCATAAAGACAAGTGAATACTTCATTCTTTAGATGGATGGCCTGAGTATTTTATTATTATTACATGGTATAACCACAACCCATATTGAAATATTAGACAACCCACAATAAAGGGGACAAGAAACTCATACAAATAAATATTTCCTATCTCAAAATAACCTAAAATATTTGTTGTTAGTATTTTAACGGAGTGGACAAACTATATCACTGTTTTCTTTTTATTCCGTAAATTGGGGTTAGGGTGTTAGAAAGATTTTGAACGTACAGCAGATCCAGGGGGTCCGGCAGGTCCTTCGCTTCCCTTCAGTCCTCCACCTCCCTGGAAGGAAACAGAAGAAAGGATTTAGCAGTAATCTTTCACCTCAACAATGCAAGGGATTTTGATCTAAAAGGTACATTTACTGTTCAAATAATGATAATAATAAGCATGATGAGTATTTCCCATGGTCATACTCACAGGGGTTCCAGGCAGTCCTCTCTCTCCGGGGAAACCTCTCAGTCCTGCGGGACCGTCTTTACCGAGGCCTCCGGTGGGTCCAGGGTCTCCCTTAGTGCCCTCTTTGCCTGAGGGACCAGAAAGTCCCTGCTCTCCAGGTGGACCTGGGGGTCCAGAGTGGCCGCGCTCGCCCAGGGAGCCGGTCTCTCCTGATGGACCCTGGTAGGATGCAGATAGGAAACAAGATGTTGTGAGAAAAAAGAAAAGAGAAGAAAACCAAGGAAAATAAAAGTTGTATAAATGATAGGAAAGTTCCGCATCAAGAATGGGAAAACTCACCTGAGGTCCAACGACTCCAGGAGGCCCAGGTGGACCCACTTTACCTTGGAAACCCTTAGGGAGAGAAGTTCAGTTAACAAAAAAAACTACTTATTTGACAAATTATTCATACTTTTTCCCACAGCATCAGAAGCTAAAGGTAAATAGCATTTCTGAGTGACTGCATCCGTGATTAAAAATGAGAATGGGTGCTTACTGCTTGTACATTTATTACCCTAACCCAGTGTTTCTCAAACTTTTTCATACCAAGGACCACTTAACCAATAAAAATATACCACAAATATCCAAAATCACATCGTTTTTCTAGAACAGATTACAAATTGCCTGAAAATGGTACAAACAAGTGGCAACATGTGTGATGAAGGTGAAACTTAAGCTCGCTCCATTGCGGAGATATTCCCGGGAGAGTGCGGAAAACTCAAATGTATTTATTTATTTCAAATGTGAAATGTTACCAATATACTCGCGGACCACCAATGGTCCGCGGACCACACTTTGAGAAGCACTGCCCTAACCCAACATATTTCAGTCTGTTTGACCTTCTTTAGGTATATTTTGGAATTGCTGCATCCTCAAAGAAAGCCATGACTGGAAACAGGGAAGAATCTTAATTGCATCTGCTTAAACAGCTGATCTATCTTTAAGAGTAGTACAAAATACAACTTACAACTTCTCCTCTCTGCCCAGGGTGTCCAGGCAGCCCGTCCTTTCCTGGGGGTCCCTGTGAGGAAACAGCAATCAACCATCAACATTCATTTAATCCAACATACAAGAGCTTTTACTACAAGAAAAAGAGGCAACATGAACCTGTTATATTTTATTCTTCTTTGAATTGTTTGTATGTTGAAATGTGTATGTTTGTATGTGTGTATGTGTGTATGTATATATATGTATATGTATATGCGTATGTATATATATATATACAGTGTGTATGCATACATATAAATGTATATATATATTTTTTTTATCGCAAAGCTATGTGTTACACTGATTATTAACCGGGAAGGGGGAGATAGTATTGTTTCTATTTGTGAATTGTCTATGCGTTTTTGTGAATCACTTTGTGTTGCCATTGTGTATGAAAGATGCTATATAAATAAAGCTTGATTTGATAAACACAACACTATGTTGTAACACTGTACTACAATTCTCTAACGAGTGGCCAAGCATCTCTAATATATAGTATCCTACATGCTCCCTGTTACTGTCCTTTTGTTCAGTTTTTAAGAGTATTTTCTGAATTGTAAGGCGTCCTCAGGTGCTTTGAAAGGCGCATCTAAATAATGTATTATTACTATTATCTACCATACATTTTAAATTAAACATATTCTTACAGGAGGTCCCTTTGGTCCAGGGAAACCATTAGCTCCCTGAGGTCCAGGCAATCCCTGTTGAGATGATCAGATAGGATATGATCAGAACATTTAGCAATTCCCAATATTGTGTTACAAAAATCTTTAAAATGTCTTTGTGTGATGAAGTTTAGGAACTCACCCTCTCTCCAGAACCACCAGGAGGGCCATCACTTCCTGACGTTCCCTAACAAGAAACAAAACAACAACACAGTTAATAAGATATCATATTTTGGATAACAAACTGCAATTTTTTCATATATTTTGCTAACTAAGACAACAAATGGAAAGATGGCTTTAAGCAAAACAAAACTTGCAATCATGACTAATAATTATACCTCTGCCACTTGTATATCTTCTACTACGTCTGAAATAAATGTATATATTTATTTCATTATTTTGTACCACATTGTATTGTGTTGTGTTATACTGAAGTACTTCATTGATGACCTTATCCAGCCACTAAATTGTAATAACCTACCCAAAGATTACAGAATAGCTAATTGGCTAACAATGGCACATTTACAATGAGGTTTGAATGTTGGACTGTTCCAGGCAGATAAGTGAATAATAATAGAGACAATGGTCCATAACAATACATGATCATCAACAATAATCTTTATCAAAATCATGAAAATGACACCCACAATGCACCTGTAGACACAGTTTCATTCTGAAATCTGGATAAATTCACAGCATAGACAAACCTTTGCTCCTCCTTTCCCAGTGGCGCCCCTCGGTCCTCTCTGCCCTCTGGGGCCCTGAACGCACACAAAGAGATTAGAATAAGTTAGAATCAATATGGAAATTATGCTATCCCAGATAACCTTGATGTTAAATAATCAAATAATATTAAATCAGTGCTTAAAGAATACATGAATACTCTCACTCCATGAAATTACTGGTGGCTCTGGTTACAGGTGCAACAAAGCAAAGAAAAAAACAACTTGTTTCAGCTTTCAACTAGAGAGGGCAGTGTGTTTCAACCCAGTGCTAAGTTATTCTTAAATACCACAAACAGACACAAACACTTTTTGTCCATCTTTGCTCAACATCTTGAGTTGAAGACAGATTAAACAGACATTTGTCCTTTTGCAATAAAACCTAACATTTAGATGAATAAATGTAAAATGGTACCGTTGGTCCTCTTTGTCCTCTTGGCCCTGATTTGCCAGCAAGACCCTGAAGAAAAACAGAAAACAAATACAGACTAAGTCGAGCAGAAATGATCTATACAATACTTTATTGTACTATACAACATCTATATCTACAGGGGAAATAGGTCTAGCGTACCATTCATTCATTTAATTGAGTATTTCTTTGTTATGCCGAACATTCTGCCCATTCCACATTTTAATTAAAACCCCACCATTATACATACATCTCATTGCATAAACAATGCTTTAGAAGTAGTACAACAAATGTAAAGAAGGAGCAAAAACATGCCTAAAAATGTTATCTTCGCATAAGGAATTATTACATATTTACAGATTTCACTAAAGAGCTTTCTCTAGATACTGAAAGTAGCTCATTTTTATGTGAACAGTCATCACAGAAACAATATCTATTTTTATCATTAAAAATAAAGCTCTTCACAGTAAAAAGACCATAAGAAAACAGGGAGGAACACGCTTTCAATTTTTTTAATAAAGTTTAGATGCCACATCAGATACAGATATACGTAGATAATCAATCAGCTACTTCCTTTCACACAGTGAATTCCACTTGAAAACATTTTTAAAAGTAGTTTAAAGTGGACCTATTATGCTATATTGGAAACATATAGTGTAGGGCCATACTTATACAGAACATGTCTGTGAAGTTTTTTGCTTAAAATACCAAACAGATCACCCATTGTAGCCATGCCTCATACTGCTCATACCCCTCTTTTGCAGCCCTGTTATGCCCCTTTCACACCATGGCGGGTCCCGTTCTAGCTCCGTGCTAGAGCTTTTCTAGTTCGGAACCGGTTTTTATTTTCAGCCCCCGTTTTGTTCACACCGCCCAGAGCCCGACTGGTGCTGCCGCTGCTGTGTCATGACGTTGCTGATTTTCTCCCCAACGGCGTCGGGTCGATGATCGTGTTGCTTTTAATCATACGAAGCCAAATTAAATTAAATAACTACTTCGCAACCCTTGTACTTCTCTCCAGAGTGCCGTGGTTCAATGTTTATTAATGTGTTCAGTGGCATTTACCGACCGCTGCAGTGCTGCCCGCTGTTTGGCATCACAACGCTGTTATGAAAGTTTCTCTGGTATAAAATGGGTGATGTTAGCATAGCAACCAAAGCTAAACTGACTATCTTGACTACTTGTTGCTATTCTATTGTGGCATAAGCCGGCACATTTTACCGGCGCATTTTTCATTATGATTCTACTTGTGATAGTCGGACATGACAACCTATGCAGCCCATGTATTGATTCCATCCGATAGCTGCTATAATAAAAAACAAAACGTCTGCCTCTCTCCACAATGATCAATAACAGTGAACGGATGGTCAAAGTAAGGTACAAATAAACAGAATCACACAAAGCCTGGTTAGTGTTGCCTGACTTTATAAAGTGTGTTTTTTTAATAAGTGTGTGGTCGCGTTCTAGTCACTTTGCTCAGCGCTACTGCTTGTTACAACTTTCATTTGCCATACTACTCGCCATAAACTGTTGTTGCTCAGGTTGATCCCGCCCCTGCCCCTGCCCCCGCCTCCGACGTAAGCGTGACGTATGTGGTTCTTGCTTCTAGACCGACAATTTTTTGGTGCTTTAAAAGCACCGGGTTTCGGAGCTTAGAGGCGGCTCCGCTGCGGTGTGAACAGGAAAAAATTGTGCTTTTCAGGCTCTAGCTCCGAACCGGCCCTGGAACCGCGTTGATGTGGAAGCCGCATTAGAGCAGAGGTCGCGTTAACCGAATATATTCCGTCTATGACGGATTTTTTTTAACAATGACGGAAAAATCTGAAAGCAGTCCGTCATTTTGACTGATTAGAACAAACTCAGAACAGCGCCAAAGTTTCCCCGCAGCAGGGCTCCGGTGTTATGTCTTGTTATGGATGGCCTCCAAAAAGGAAATGATATCGTTTCCAGACCTAACTTTGCCGTACAAATCATTGAAATGTCGCTCCCTCGAGGTGCAGTGGGCATGCATAACACCAGCGCTAACAGTTCACGAGCGCCCCCCCCCCCCCCCCCCCCTTGGCAGTTCACGAGCGTGCTCTCCCCCCGTCAGTTGTGTACAGACCGACGGGTAATAATGGATTTTGACGGAAATGTTAAGATCCTGTCCGTCAAAATGACGGGCAGCGAAAAAGTCTAGCGCAACCTCTGCATTAGAGAAACGCGGATTTTGAGTTCTTAGCTTGAAAAAAAACAAACTAGGAGGCGGAGCTAATGCCTGATCAGAATTCTACCGGAGATAAAGTACAATTCTGCTGCGATAAAACGCCATCCTGTTTAAACCACATCAAGGATTATTTCTGAAACAGTATGGAGCTCAAATGCTTTTTCTCTTGCGGGTTTATCACAAGGTGAGTTCCTTTTTTTATTTAAGTACAGGTTAGCTCTGAGTGTTAGCGAGGCTTGCTAATGTAAACAAAGACGAGATTACGTCCAAAACACGTCAGGCATTGTTTCTGATAGCAACTTTCTGTGGGTCCGCCGCCGATTTGACGTCATATCGGCAGCAAATCTGTATCCGCTCGTTGCACCCCCGTTTTTAAGATTTGGGTACGGAGGAAAAGAGAAAGGGTTTTATTTTCTGACATTGCATGAGTTCCCGACACACCGGGGACACATATTTATGTATAAAAGACATACAAAAGTGCATTTTGCATGATAGGTCCCCTTTAAATTAAAAAAGAAAAATCTTCGAATGAGGCATTGACTTACCCGTGTTCCCTTCTCGCCGTTTGAGCCGGGGAATCCTGGGAATCCAAGAGATCCCTAAATACAAATAAATATTAGGACTGTTTCTCACCATACTGAGGAATAAAAGTGTCTGATGGTTGATGATGCGTTTGTTTTTGTCTTACCTTGGGTCCTTGTCTTCCGGGATATCCAGGAAGTCCAGGTACACCAAGTTTACCCTGAAATGAGGACATTTTTAATCATGATAATTTCACAAGAGTGAGCACATCATCTGTAATTGTTTTTAAATGTTACCAAACTGCAACACAAAAATTCCATTACAAGACTGTTAATGTTGATTAGCTCATAATGAAATATGTGCCATGATAAGAAGAGAACATGGGAGCTCATACAATAACATTTATTAAGCAAAATGTCAAAGGTTTAGTAGACTCACACAAAGAATAAAAAACACTTAAGTAAAAATAAATGACTTATACTTGTATTGTAATTATAAATGATTGTATACAATGTTTTTTTCCACTTAAATGCATAAACTTGGACAACCACAAGAGGGCAGTACAGCTAGGTTTCCTGCTTAATATTTGATCATAAAGATGACCTTGACCTTATTTAAAGAACATGGGACTACTTGGGCAAATATGTGGGAAAAATTGGCACTTGCAAAACGAAACACCTATAATCCAATAGAGGACACATTTACTTGATGTGTGATGTTATGTGAAATAATACATAAATTAGGAAACGATTCCCCTAAGAATCAGTAACTTTTCTCATATTATTGAGAGCAATCATGTAATTGTGTCCTTATTGAACTGGATGTACCTTCTCTCCAACCAATCCAAGTGGTCCGAGCTCGCCAGGGGGCCCGACGCGACCCTTTGGCCCCTCAGGACCATCCTCTCCTCTGGGCCCTGACGCTCCAAGCTCACCCTGTCAGCAGGAGACAAAGCAAAATATGAGAATAAATCAACAGAAAATAGGCCAAGAGTAATAACGCAGGAAAAATGACCTTTATAGAAAAATGACAATTAAGAACCATAAATGATTGTATAAATCAACTGATCAATCAAACCATCTTACCCTCTCTCCCTTGGTACCAAAATCTCCCTTAATTCCAGGGAAACCATCTTCACCCTAGAAACACAAAAAAACATACAGAACATGTTTAGCTAAATATTGTAATCAAACTTACGATATTTTAGATCGTGACGATGTGACCATGGCTGTTTTGTTTTCTAATACCTTGCTATTGTGACAATGAAAAATTGACATAATACAATTGATAATCAAGTTTTATCAATCAAGGTAATTTGTGAGTGTCTTGAAATCTTTGAATGTCAGGAATCACTTACCTTCTCTCCCCAGTGGCCCTTCAGTCCACGGATTCCTTGACCTCCCTGCAATCAACACATTGCATGGTCAATACACTGTTATTCTATATTATAATACTATTCAAATCTGAAGGTAATTTAAACAGCAAATAAAAACCTCACAATAAAAAAACAGTGTGCTCACGACTAACTGAAAACAATCAACTGTACTGACCTTGATGCCACGAGGGCCAGGATAGCCGATAGCTCCCTGTGGACCGTTGGGACCCTGGAGAAGGACAAAAATAGAAGGGCAAATTAAGAAAATGAATACCTTAATACAATATACATTGTTAGCTGGAAGGGACCTGGTGTGATGGGGATATGATTGACACCCACCAGGTTTCCTTTGGTACCAGAAGGCCCCTCCTTTCCTGGGTGACCCTGTAAAGTGAAAGCATCATGAAGGACATCAGGAAGGACATCCAGTGCTGGTGTATTCAACATATTACATTTTAATGATATAAATTCAATTTAAATTGAAGAGACAAACATACAGGAGGACCGTCAGCTCCGGGCATTCCTGGAAGACCTGGTTTTCCTGTGGGTCCCTGGAAGAGAAGACAAGGTGGTCATGAGTGAGAGTGTTGGGACTGCACCTGTAACTGTTTGGTAACTGTCCTGAAACACTATGAGAAGAATGACTTGTGCCAAAAACGTTGTTGCTACCAAGCTAACCAGATATCTTAATGGCTGCACAGATCAGGGATCAGCATGCTGCAATTCTCCAATTCATAAAGTGTAACATTTGCCGTGGCCACTTTCTTTCTATGCTTAATGTGACATTAGAGAAAATGTCATTTGAATATAATTAATGGTTCACAGTTTTTGGCTACTACCACCAGGGCAGTGTTTACTGGTGAGTTTTAGAGGTGCTGCTATGTGGATCTTTTTGGTTAGCTCTTCTCCCCTGTTTTGAAACATTATGCTAAGCTAACCAGCTGCTGGCTTTAGCCTCATATTTAGTGGACATATTAATGATTTATCCTTCTAATGAAGCTCAGCGCAAGTTCAACCAGGAAGACCTTCTTTACTCATCAATTTACTATTTCCATGTTACTACTCTCTCTCCTCTCAATAAGTGATCGGGGGCGTCACTCCCCAGCTTAACCAATCACTTCGCTCTATTCTCACCACCAGTGTCTAGACCCCGGGGGTTTCATCGGATCAGTTCTCCCTTCCCGAATGATACTCCTGCACAACGGGGCCTAATCGCCAAAACTCCATTACATTCATTAGTTTATTCCTGGCAATAAATATGTATTCTTACATCAAAACCGTCTCTCCTGATTGAAACACCCTAACCCCATTCAACTTCTGTCAAGAAAGCAAATGAGCATACTTCACTAATTGACTGCTGCTTTAAAAGTCTGCAATACATACAGACATCATTAAAGAATAATCAGCAATCAACCCTGCTCCTTCTCAATGCAAATCAAGAACCATGGGGTGTGATTAGACATCTAATCTATTTTTCAGAATAGAATAGCTTTTTTTAATACAATAACTAATTCAGAAATCGCTTATACTTGAAAATTTGCCATTACATATTTTTGGACACACTCACATACCTCTCTCCATCATGAATGAAGGGGGCTAAAGAATGTACACTCAATGAGTTTATCCTGATGATTCTATTCTATAAATGTTGATTGTTGAATGTATTTCCTTTAACTGAGTTTACTTCCTGTATCATTCTGTATTTTTGATCCAGAGTCACTTTATATATATATTTTGTATTGCTTACTTTCTCTCCTGGAGGTCCGAGGGCTCCCTGAGGTCCGGGCATTCCCTGCAAAAAGAAATGAATGAATGAATACTCACTCTCAACATTACTGTGTTAATTGTACATATGCGTTTCCAGCTGTCTCACCTGAGTTCCTCCGGTTCCCTGCTGACCTGGAGGTCCTGGCTCTCCTTGGGGACCCTGAGAGACAGGAAGAATAATGGGTGCTGATATTAATCATCTGCGGATTCAATAACATGGTTACATGTTAACATGGTAGATAAGTTATGACCAACACTGACCAAGTTTCCTTTGGGACCGTGAGGTCCGTCATTTCCACGCACACCCTGAGAAGAAAAGAGGGTGAGAAGGAAAAATCAGAGTGGAATTCTGAACAGAATCTGTCACGAATTAACAAAAATATTTCACAATAATAATAACTCATTCACTATGGTAAAGGCTTCTATCCACGCAAATTTGCAGCAGAAAGTATACTTGCTAAATGTCACTTACAGCGAAGGGTTTTGGTGATAATGCTAGCGTGTATCTTTAGATTTATAGGAATCAGCAGGTACTTAAAGCTTGCTGCTTAAAGGGGGACTCTCCCAATTTTACACATACATGTCTGTTTACAGGTCTTGTGGAATACAATTGGTTGAAGTCAGATACATCTCGAGGGAGAGTTGATTTGGGCTGAAGAGTTTGAGGGTGTAAAGTTAAAAAGAAGTGAGCACGAGCTTGTTGCATAGCACACCGAAAACTCCAAACGAAATGTTGTGGAAGAAGAATGTGTGGAATGGAATAGACAATGTGTTTGGTTGTTCTGCTTTTGTCAGACCATGTTATCTCAGTGCCATGCTAAATCTTACTGTGGGTTTTCTCTGGAAGTTTTTCCTTGTACGATGTGAGAGTCTAAGGACAGAGGGTGTCGTATTGTCATACTGATATTCTGTACAAACTGTGAAGTCCACTGAGACAAATGTAGCATTTGTGATATTGGGCTATATAAATAAACATTGATTGATTGATTGATTGAAATCAGTGCAGTGCTCTTTTAAGGGCAGACCTCAACCACTGTCACCAAACAACTCTAGTACAAAGTGTTAAATGGATACTTGGGACTTGGCTGCCAAAATGCTGTGTGATTCTCTGTGTTTGTTTTGTTTTGAGGTGATTGTGAGAACATTACATGTTACATTTTTAGATCACTGGGTATCCCCGTCTCTATATCAGGTCTCAGCGTGTTGTTTCAGGAGGTGCTTCAGTGGTTACAGATGGATAAAACAATGCCACTAAAAATACCAGCGCCACAATGTGGTTCAAAATTGTTTTTACTCACAGGAGGTCCGGAGATCCCAGGGGGACCTTTGGGTCCGAGCAAACCACGAGGTCCCTAGAGAGAGACGAAACACACACACACACACACACACACACACACACACACACACACACACACAACACACACACACACACACACACACACACACACACACACACACACACACACACACACACACACACACACACACACACACACACACACACACACACACACACACACACACACACACACACACACACACACACACACACACACACACACACACACACACACACACACACACACACACACACACACACACACACACACACACACACACACACACACACACGCCAATATTAGTCAGTAATCAAAGTCATAAATGATATATTTAAACTATTATATTCTAGAATAAATCACAATATAGAATATTAAGCCAATAACTAAAGCAGCAATTTCAGCATTGGGATAAACAGACAAATTAAAACGCAGAAGTAAACTGTTTAATATATTGTAATGATGACTGATTGATAAATAACATACATTGGTAACTAACTATATTGACTGATTCCAATCATTTGTAAAATGGCGCACTATTTTTTATAAAAAAGAATGTCTGTTGAAGGGAGTTATTATTTTGAATTAGGGTATTTATAGAAATGGGCATTTTATTAATTAAAGAATGATGAAAAACACAACAAATAATTTATTATAGTTTTGTCCTCATGTGTGTGGGTGGATACAAAGAAATGGGTTGCCCAGGCGATGGCTTTGGCTTCATTCTTGAGTGTGTGCCAACAAACAATCATTTCATTTTTGATGTGAAGAAGAAAGATTTTCATTTATTTGTCAGACACCATTATATTATAGAAGGCATCAGGCCAGTTCTAGGTATGGGTTGGTCATGTTTTTGTTGTTGAATGGGGTACCTGAGTTATAAAAGGATCATTTTATTAGCTCAACCCGTGCAATCATATGCAATCCAATACAACTGTTCTGCCATCAAGTCCTGATACTGTATCTTTAATGTATTTGATTACATTAAGAATGTTGACCATGTCATTATTATTTTATTTATTTATTCTTACTTATTCATGGCGTTGATGTTATTAATGAGGAGTTTACAACCTCCATTTACATTTCAGTCTGAAGATGGTATTTACTTATTAAGGACAATACATAATACCAACCTCACATAGTGCACGGCTATCAGAAAAAACAGCGATGTCATTTCTGATATACAGCACATTATGTTTATGTATCTTCTGTTTCCATATAATATACATGTCAGATATTTAGAAGTATGGCTTTCGCGTACATTTTTCTCTGTAATATATGGAATTGTTAACTGAATTATTTTTGGATGTTCTGTCAACCTGGGGAAGAACCACACCTGCCACCATAGAGCTGGTCTGCCTATTGGTTATCATGAAGTATACATATGGGTGTGCTTTCCACTTGTTAAACATTCTGATCTGCTGAAGTTCCAAGTACGATCCAAACATAGTCATTAGAAACAAATAATGTTTTTCTAGAAATATTGCACAATAAACCTGTGATCCTGGCAGCAGTTGGCTGCATCTACTATCACTGCCTTAAACATAATAAGTGGAGATAACTACGTCAGGTATCATTGAGAAACAGCAGGTGTGAAGGTAACTTAAGTGCTACAGATGGATACACAGAGATGCATTCTGGGATGCTGCTTATAACAGAGATAGGGGAAAGCGGGAGAGATTTAAAATCAGATGTTGTCATGGAAACACTCACTGATTCCCCCTGGAGACCCCTTGGTCCAATGTCTCCGTCGTCTCCCTGGAAACACACACAGACACACCAAGGATGTGAATATTACTTACAGAGTGACATGTTGTGAGGGGTGCCTGGAATCATTAACAAAATGTTTTTCATATCTTCCTACCCTCTCTCCGTCCTCTCCTTGAAGTCCTGCGGGCCCCAATGATCCTGTGTCACCCTGGGGAGGAGAACAAGTAGAGGAGTGAGGAAACAAAACAAATCTGCTAACAAACAGATATTCAAACAAGAGAGTATTAACATCTCATACTTATCCTTACTAATTTAATTACTGTGTGAATTGTATGTAGCATTTTGATTGTAATGTGCATTGGACTCACCCTGTGTCCTTTGTCCCCGGGCAAACCAGGAAGGCCATCAAAACCACGGTCTCCCTGAAAGAGACAAACATTATAAAAGACGTGTTAGGAATAATGGCTGCATTGTAGTAGATGTACCAATGCATCACAAGTGGATTTGATACATTCATAATACAACGTTTGATTTGCACATACAGTAGCTGTGATCTTGGGGTACAAGAGTATGTGAGATGTCTCAATGGACTTTATTGTTCCAGCAAGACCAAGTGCAAGTTGACCTTATCGTGTTCTTGTGAAGCCTACCAGGTTGTACATTTACACTAATTCACCATGATAAAAATAATTAAGCTACATGCATCTAAACACCACAGTTACTGTCTGTGTGAATTTACACTTAAATGACATCAGTAGAGATTTTTTCCCTATCTTTTAACTCATTGACTTTTAAACACAATGTCATTTCAGCAAACATCTCCATAAAGGACTGACACCAGAGAAAGCATACCTTTGTTCCAGACTCTCCTGGCATTCCCCTGGCTCCATCAGCTCCAGCACGGCCCTGTGAGGAAGAACATGTTTTAAAGGGGCTTCCGTATACGAGACACAGTCGTACCACTTGCCACAAACCCCTGTATTGTTTTTGACAGGGTATTAACAGACAGAGAGATCCTAAACAAGACTTTGGAGGCGTGTGGAAATAGATGATTCCTTGTCTGTGATGCATACGACAAAACCTTTCCTGGAGGATTTTGGAAGTAACACATTCTGATGACACACTTGTTATTTGTTTAAACATCTCCACCATTTATTACAGAATATACATTTCAGCAGCCCCTGAGCCCCCCCGGAGAAAAAAAGTTAAAAGTGATGCCCTTTTAACTTTGGGTTAGACAACAATAAAAAAAAGGAAAACCAGACATTTGTCATACTCACTCTTCTGCCAGATTTGCCTTGAGGTCCGATCATACCCTGGGTTCCCCTGGGGCCCTGAAGAATGGATTATTTAATTAGATGTCTGTGGTATTTTTATCTGAGCTGAGTATAAATGTAGTATAAGTTTAATTATAACCGCAGTAACTGTAAAATGAGAGTTCATTACATGATTTTGCATACAAACTATCTTACTGATATAACTTTGATATGAAACAAGAGTTCTGTTGGGATGTTCTTACCTGAGGACCGGGGTCTCCACCCTCTCCCTTCAGACCATTATTTCCTGGGTTTCCCTGAAACAGAAATCATCACCATCACCATCATACAATATAAAAAAAGAATTAAAAAAAGCTGTGTTTGCAATTAAGAGAATTATATGATCAAAATCCTTGAAAATGTAAACAAAACACCAACTCTTGTTATAAACAGGTAAGGGTCCCAATGATTGCAAACATACCAAAGGTCCAGGGCGTCCAGTGTATCCCATTGGTCCAGGAGGTCCTTTCAGAGCCATCTAGAGACAGTAACATCTCAAAATCAATGATCATGGAGGCAATTGGCTACACAAACGATGACCGTTCATTTAAATAGAGCAAAGAAAGGCTTATGTCTACCAAGTCATATGTGCATACACATGCTATAGTGAGGACTGACCCTGGCTTGAGACAAGATGGCTGCTGCCTGGGCTTCCTGTGCAGAAACGGATGGACCCTTATCTCCTCCACTCTGACCGAAACGGAACTGAAAAAAGAGAAGAACACATGTGAGTGTTTGATACATTTAATATCATTTATCAACACAACGCTGACAAATTACTTTAACTAATAATAAGGACAAACAAATCTAAATATGATGATACAAATGTTTAAAATAATATTGAACAAGGGCCAATGTTCAATCTTAAAGGTATCCACAAAATGCAAACGTTGGGGCGAATATCACTCATATTCAGACATTTCTAATTCATTTTCAAAGCATTAGGGAGACTCACAGGCAGCATGACAGATGTTCCAGGAGGTCCAGAGACTCCGTCAGATCCAGGCATACCAGCCTTACCAGAAGGGCCCTGCAGGATGTAGCGAGGGAGGGGTGAAGATGGCAGGTTCAAGGAGAGAGTGGAAGCTAAATACACTTCTTTTACACAGACACTACCAACCTGTATTTCTTCAGATAAAGTGAAACACTCACCCTCTCGCCGGGGTCACCGAAAGAGCCAGGAGGTCCAGAAGAGCCGGGTGGGCCAGTAGGACCCTGAAGGAGATGGGAAGGGGAATTTGAGTATTCTTATTCGGACTCCATGAGGCTGTCATATTCTATTTCAGCGTCAAGCACAGCGTGATAATGGTGCCGAATATAACAAATGATGGTAATTATCATAGCCTTTCAAAAAGAAGTGTCCACAAGCACAACACTTGCATGAAGCAAATGACAGTGCTGCCAAAATAACTCTAAAGGAGTAAACTACAGACGTGTAAATGTTTGGAAGCCGGAAAATGTGTTTAGAATAAAAAACAAGGACATAAACACAATGTACTTACAGCAGCTCCCTCAGGTCCGGGAGGTCCTTCAATTAGCATACCCTGCAAAATACACAATAAAGTTAGAAATGTAACGAAAGGGAACAAAAAAACCCTGACAAACATACAATGGAGATCAGTGCAAATATACAATATTCCTGCAATCAGGCTACTCTGTTGTTTATTTGAAAGTACAATTGTAGTGCTATTTTTTCAAGCAGAAAATGTGTGGATCCCACTGTGGGGGTCTGTTCCTTTTCAACTGCTACATCAAATGTATAATAACTAATGACAATGTCATAAGGTAAAAGATGCAAAGGAAAAATACATGAATCAGTTCAGATGACAAATGGAAATGTGTTGTGGCTTTACTGCAAAGTCAACGGGCTAAGGTTTGTCCTTTAGTCTTTGGATGGACATGGTTACCGTTACTTGAATGATGAGCTGTTTAAGCTTGGGAATTTGTCAAGAGCCCAACTGGAAATCAGTAAGATGGTTTATAATGTAGGTCACAGCCAATTAAAATGACAGACAAAGATATGTAAGATAGCCCGATGTTTATATGTTGTTTTGTTTTTTAACAGAGTAGGTGTGGCTTTCAATGACACCCTCAAATTGATGTGGCAAAACCTTCTAGAGTTGGAAAAGCAAGATTATGACAAGAGGGCTGCTGATGTGAACCCCTGGAGCTTCATGGGAAAGTGAGTGGGTAAGGTTTTGTCTTTCTGTCCCTGAATGATCCAGTTCAAATCAAATGCTCAGGTAAAGACAATAAGTAACTCACAGGCTCCAAGACAGCAGGGTCTCCTTGTTCTCCTTTTTGTCCTCTAACGGCGGCCTGAGGAAAACACACATGTAGCCAACAACACAGCATAGTCAGTATAGAGATGCACACACACACGCACACACACACACACACACGCACGCGCATGCGCACGCACGCACGCACGTGCACACACACACACACATACACACACACACACACACACACACACACACACACACACACACACACACACACACACACACACACACACACACACACACACACACACACACACACACACACACACACACACACACACACACTCATATAATGCAGATTTGGCTGCATGCATTTTGACAACAGGTGCACATATACACACGCCCACAATAGTTTGCCACATTAATATGCAAGTGTAGGAAATAGAATGATACAAATAAAAACCTGTTTTTTTTAGTTATAAGCTTTGGCTGAAATGATGATGATGATGATTCAATAGTTCTACACACTTTTGGTCCATTACTTAGCATCGATCATCATCTGGGCTAGCAGCACTTAATGAAGCCATGTACTGCAATAAATGGCATTTTAGAAAAAGGATGCAGCAATGGGTTACTGCTGCACTTCAAAATGCCTCTTTATGCAGTGTACACAATAGTTCAAGTTATCGGTATGTTTATTAGGAACCCCAATAGCTTCTACCATGGTAATAGCTATTATTCCTAGGGTGCTGAATTGCTCACTATACACCGTACAGAATAAAACCAATTTCAACCACTGATTTGTGCACTTGTCTTGTTCATTTAGGTATTTAAAATACATTGAAATGGTTGTTTCTCCGTGATTGATTGAGTTTTCCAGGCACCTAAAAAAGTATGTTTATCCATAATGGCCTGAGACTCAAACAAGTACTTTGAGAGGACATTGAATAACATTTGACCAAGACAAGTATTCAGAGTTGGTTGAAACTGGTTTTGTAGTTTTTTGCGTCAGGAGCAAAACGACTTACGCCTCCCTCATCTGTCACAGCGGACAGGGCGGGGCCCATGTTGGCATCTCCATTCTCCTGTATTGGCTCATTGTAGTCCCTGTAGGAATAGTCGTATTCCTTAAGGCCCAAGTCCCCAGTCACATACTCCTCAGTGAAGGGCTCCTCCAGCACCCCGCCGGCCTTGGTGGCATCTACCTCCTCTCCCAGCAACGTGGTCTCCACCTGGGGCTGGTTTGGTTTATCAGAGCCGCAACAGGATAGATAGAGGGGCACGAGAGGAGGAATCAAGCGAAGGAAAATAGAGAGTCAAGGGAAAGAAGGAAGGAAGAGAGAAAGGTATGTATGATGGGGAAATAGTTAGTAAAGAAAAGAGAAATATAGAAGCAAACAACAGGGGGAGTGCAAGAAGAGGGCATATGTAGAAGGAAGTGAGTCTTACCTTTTGCAAATAAACAGTGACACATGGACAGAAATAAGACATCTCACAGGCTGTGGGGACTTTTTCAGCCCTTAATGCTGTAAATTCAGTCTGATTTTTTCAGTTGAATTACGGATTAGCAGGTTTTTCCTGCCATTTCAAATCTCATGTTAATGATCTATTATTGAGACTATAATAGTATGTGTTTTCACCAAAGCGTATTCTTATCAGCTTGTGTGATGAGGGACTTCTCCAAATATATTATTTCACATTTGAAATGTTGGTTTAAAAAGAGAGACAGAGAGAAATGCAAAAGCACTATTAATCTCAATGTCATGCTTGCCTTTTCCCTTAACACACTTGAATGATATGAAGCACTTTGTGAAAACAAGTTGCAGTACGCTATGCTTAGCAAAGCAAAAACTATGTTATTTTCTATTTTACTTACCATGGGTGTTTTTAAAACAAATGAATCCAGTGGAATAATGCTGTACCGTTACCTCATACAAAAAGAGTTTTAAACTCAAACAAATGTGCGTATTTGGTCGTAAAATAAACCCTTCTATAATAGGCACCAAAAAGATTCATGGCGTCAACATTGGAAAACAAAACAAAGTCATCAAGGTCAGCTAATATACATGGATGATAAAAGGGTTATAAAGACAATACGGTTTATTGCCAAAAACAGGTGAACTGTGAGAAACAGATCAAAACTGAGAAACTCATTCTCAAATTCTGATATAGTTTAGGGCTGTAAGGGTAGCCACAGCAACTACTGTATTCTTTAGTTCAGTTCATTTTCTCTCTCAAACCAGAATGCATTATATTCATCTCCCTTTGTTGCTTTGGTTAAATCTGCATATCGAATATTCCTATGCGGATCCATTTTTCCACAAGATTTTTGTTCTTACGTCAAGATAACAACCTGATCAACAGAATACCCTGAGATGAGAACAGGAATCTTGTTGTTAGGGGGAAAAAGGAGCCACGTAAGAATATTTGATGATACAAGCAGATGAATGTCATGCATTCTCTTTGAAAAAGATTTGTTTCTTGTTATGTGGCATCGGGGCCAACAAAACATTGATGTGTGGTTAGAAGAGAGACACGGAGTTGTACTACTTGGTTAAACTACAAAGACTGGGCTCACCACCACACAAGTGTTACACTGTCTTCTACCTTTGGCGATGGAGGTCTCTTGTATTGAGGCGCTGATTTCTTCCAGTATTTGTCACTGTGGGCTAATCTGTAACTTCTGTTTCTTTATATTTTACTGAGCAAAAAAGAAAATCTATCTGTAGAAATCAATAATTTTCATGTATGTTAATTAAAAAATTGATATAAAATGTTTTTGGACTATTTAATTTTTCTTTATCTGTGTGACTGACCAGTGTGTAATCTTCTTTTTTACCTGTACAGGGATTTCTTCCTCTCCAATCACCTCACCCTCTGGCACCGTCTCCTCATAGTAATAATCAGTCTCTGTAGGGGTGTGGCCAGCCTCGGAATATTCAGTATCTACATCCTGATTGGTCAAGTTGACAGGAATTGGGTTGCAGGGAGGAAATAAGCAGATTTGAATGGAAGAGCGAGGTTAGTTCAAATTCTGCTTGTAAGTTATGAGTCAAAAGAATAAAATGGAACACGTCATAAAACTGTGGTTGCCAGTGCTGAAGGAAACTTTTTTAGTGGCAACTCACATTTTTAAAGTTGTAAAAGATCCATTTTACAAAATAAATGTCAGGTTTCAGGATCTCAATAACTATAAATGTTGCCATATGCAAGATTTAGGGAGTCATTGAGTCTACTTTGCTGAGATTTATTTTTATTGTATTGGTCAACAAAGTTCACAAAGCCAATATTCATGAAAGGTTGAAGTCTCCTCTTTTTGGAAGTAGGACTGAGAGCCTCTATCCATCCCTTAAGATACAAACATCAGAACTTGATGCTTTGGGATGTTTAGTTTCACCCAAGACCAAAAAACAGAGAGACAACCCCAATCAGCAGCCTCACAGAAAACAATCCAGTTAATTCCAGATTTTACATCTATTTCTCAGAACCCACTAATGACCATGAACCTCACAATGTCCCTCAACCTTAAAGCAGGTCAGCGTCATAATAGAGTAGACATTTCATGAAGTTCAACTTCTACAAAAGCACACATGCTTTTTAGTTTCTGTGAGGCTGCTTTATTCGTATTTGATACAAAATATGGCAAAAGACAGGGAGAGAGAAAACACAGGTACTTAAAACTAACAAAACAAGGAGAGAATGACAGAGTAACAGAGGAGGTTTGTTGTGTTGCTTGTGTATAGAATGTGATAGTATTTGTGTTTTCTTAAGTTGAGTTTATGTGCCATAGAAATCCATGCTCATTCATTTCACCGGTACGTTAATGTTTTCCCCGAAAAGAAAGAGGTGGAGTGCTGCGTATTCAGTTCCTGAGATCCAGCTTCAACAGCTTGAAGGAAGTATAGGGAAGTAAAGAACAATGAAACCGTACAATAAGCCATGCTTCAATGTGCACCGCTGTATCATATCATATGGAGAAGTTGGGGCAATCGTAAAGATCATATGATATATAAGAAGGCACCCAGCTTGGTATGAACCAACTTCCATTCTGATGACCAGATTGTCCACCATCCAGGATTTAACTCAACATCTGCACTGCAAGCCACCTATTTAAAGATGAAACTATGCATACAAAAGACTGCAAACGAGTTGCAAACCTTAGATGGTGAAACGTTCTGGAAACCAGATGGGACAGATGGGACATACGACTCTGGACATTCTGACCAAACATGGTCCTTCTTGTTGTACCTGTTGATAACCGTTGGTATTTTTCTTCGCTGGGACTGAAGTTCCACCCAGCATAGTCTTGCCAAACGGTGGGAATGGTTTATGCAGGGACTTGACATTATTGTCCACCGCCACCTTCGGTTTTGTAGGTCTGGGTGGAGTGGGCTGGACAGGGGCAGATGTTGAAGCAACTTTCTTCTGGATGGTAACCTTTTCGATCATATTCTTCAAAACTTTGCTGACGCTTGTTTTGACCAGAGGGACTTTGGTGACAACCGTTTTCACTTTGGTGACCTCTTTGACTTCCTTTACTGGAGGTTTCACAGCTGGAGCTTTGGTGGACACAGGCTTCACTGTTTTTGTAGGTTCAGGTTTTGCTGCTTTGGTAGGTTCAGGTTTTGCTGCTTTGGAAGGTTCAGGTTTTGCTGCTTTGGTAGGTTCAGGTTTTGCTGCTTTGGTAGGTTCAGGTTTTGCTGCTTTGGTAGGTTCAGGTTTTGCTGCTTTGGTAGGTTCAGGTTTTGCTGCTTTTGGAGATTCAGGTTTTGCTGCTTTTGGAGATTCAGGTTTAGCTGCTTTTGCAGGATCAGGTTTTGCTGCTTTTGTCGGTTTAGGTGCCTTAGTAGCTTCTACTTTGGCATCTGTTTTAGGTGCAATGACCACAGCCTTTTCGGTCTTTTCTACTTTGACAACTTTTTCAGTCTTTACTTTAGTAGTGGTTTCAATTTTTGCCTTTACAGCTTTCTTTTCTACAACAGTAGTAACTTTGCCATTGGCCTTGGCTTTAGCCTCACCGCTGACTTTACTCTCAGTTTTGCCATTCATTTTGACTTTAATCTCTTTAACCTCAATAGTAGTTTTGCCATTTCCATTGGCTTTCTTCTCTGCTGTAGCTTTGCCATTGCCGTTTCCATTAGTATTAGACACAACAGTGGCTTTTCCATTTCCATTGACTTTCTTTTCTGATGAAGATTTTTCATTTGCATTACCATTGACTTTCTTCTCAGCTACAACCTTGCCATTGCCATTCCCATTCACCTTGGCCTGAGATGCTGGCTTGGCATCAGCTGTAGCTTTACCATTGCCATTAGTTTTTGTTACAGCTGCTTTTCCATTGCCATTGGCTTTAGCTGCACCATTTGCTTTCTTTTCCACCGTTGGTTTGCCATTCTTAGCTGGAGCAGCTGCGGGCTTAGATTTAGCTGCTGCTGTTGGTTTTATCTTAGACAAGAGGATCTCTACAGCGGAGGGCTTAGCTTTGGTTGCCTTGGCTGCAACAGTCTTGGGGGCTTTGGCAGGCATAGGCAACTTGACGACAAGTTTGGATGGAACAGTCTTGGCTGGTTTAGCAGGAGCTGGTTTTGGTTTGACAGGAGTGGATTTAGTGGGGACGGATTCTCCATTGATCACCTTCTTCTAATATCCGTGATTGTTTTGTTTTTTGGTTGGGATGGTGTTTAGTATGTAAAAGTGTATAATGATAAGAGAGAGTGGAGGAAGATAAAGATACACGGAAGGGTTGGGAGGGGGATCAAAAGCACAAACAAGGGATGGACAGAAGGAGAGAGAAAGACAAGAGTGGATGTTTTGAGAAACAATGACATTAAGATGGCAAAGGCTTGGATGATTTACTGAGACTGTACAGGCATTACTGGATACAGCTGAGGATTAATTCACATTTTAAAACAGTAAACAAAAATACAGCTGGATAAGAAAATTCAAAATTCACATTTTAAGAGGTTTATGGTTTTTGCTGATTTCTCCAGTAATGCCATTCCCAATATTAAATTAAAAAGCAGCATATTTGCGCTAATATGAACTGGAGCCTGTGGTTTGGCAGAGGCACTAAGGGTGTGACTGGTCAGGTGAAGCTGGTGCTAAACAAGCACACACACACACACACACACACACACACACACACACACACACACACACACACACACACACACACACACACACACACACACACGCACGCACGCACGCACGCACGCACGCACGCACGCACGCACGCACGCACGCACGCACACACACACACACACACACACACACACACACACACACACACACACACACACACACACACACACACACACACACACTCACACTCGCACACATACACACACTGTATAATGCACTGACAAGTCAAACTGCAGGACGAAGAGGTTGACTGCTTGTTAAGCTATGCAAGAGGGAATATGGATGCCAGGGGAGCATGCAAATGCAAGTTAGTAACATAAAACAAAAAAATGAAAACAACAGTACATGATTCATTCCTACTGAACCAGTCATGCTGTTATAATGAAAATACATGCAAATGAACATTTAATTTACAAAAAGTTCACCCGACTAATATAGTATGCAGAGAGAAATGTCTATCATTGTGAGTTAAACACCTTAAATATGCAAGAGCACAAACAGAGACTTTGGTTACATGTGTGTAATTTGTATAGCATACTGAGGTAAGGTGTACAATTATGAATTCTTATATCAAGACAAAAACACGTGCATTGACATTCCCATATTGCCTGGAAAATATGTATGGTAACCGACGACCCAGAAGTACAAGCATGCAGTGACATCCTTTAAGATAATTAAGAAATCATGCAAGTAACAAGACAATACAGACACATGCCCTGGTCAAATGGTATTGCAAATATTTCTGTGCTTTTTGTGCTCATGTGTTAATGAGGTAACTGTTGAAAAGCTGGGTGTAGTCGAATGAATGCTAAAAGTGTCTTGCCGTCACAAAGCATTTGTAAGTCAATTTATTGATGCTTTCTGTGATAAGCAAATTAAAACCCATCGTGTGACGAAGTTAGGTACATTTCATATTTTATAAAAACACAACTTATTTACAAAGGCTATAAGACCAAGGTCAGTTTAAGACAAAAGGAGACTCCCAATAATCATGTAATCCATTAGTTTGATATTGTAATTTCAACAGATCTACAAATTAAAAATAAGAATTTGATATCAAGTAATCTCAATAACAGGTAAATACATTTTGTTTTTATCTGATTAACAAATGACCTATTTAAGGTGACTCTTTATGTGTCATATATGTTATGCTCTGTTGTTATCTTTGCACTTGTATATTCCAATACATTTTGTGACACCTGTTCATAAACACAGGATATATAATGAAGGAGTGCAGACTGGAGGAATGTGAGAAAAGGTTTGCATGTGTGTATAACAACACAGCTGCACCTACACCACCCTCGTGCCCCCACTTGGCCACATCTGAACACACATACATATACGACAACATGTAAATGACATGAGGACAACAATAATCACAAGGAGCAAAAGTAATCCTGTGTGACGGAGACGGTGGAAGCGAGGTGATTGTGTCAATGTGGATTAAAGAAAAGGTGAAATGTGAATAAAACAAAGGAGGTATGGAGTGATGAGGGATGAGAGAGGCATATGAAATGCTAAAAGTGAAAATGTAGATTTGATACCAAATATTTTAGAGAAGATGTAATACAAATTTGGTTGATACTCAAATACTTGGCAAGCTAAACCTATATTATTGATAAATCCTCAGTTATTGCTTCAATACCTCTCTCTCTCATTATCCTCCCCTTCCATAACCCCGCTGGTGTTTTCCCTCTCTCGTGCTCCCTCTTTACCTGTTGACTGGGGCGAGGGGGACGCAGAGGAGGAGGGAATGCCTGTTGTTTCCTCATAATAATAATAATAATAGGGGTATTCATGGTCATCCTGCTCCTCATCAAAGTACTGAGAGAGATGGGGGAGGATTGAAAGATGGAGGAAGGATAGAGGGAGGAATGAGATTGCAGGGGGGGACATAAAAGCAAGAGGGATGGAAGGAGAGGAATGCATGGAGAGGGGGGGTGGATTTCCACACAGAGGTGAATAGGGGCTCGTCAGATACATGAAGGTAACAAGGATAGGGGTGAATGTAGGGTACAAATAAAACATGGTGATAGACAGCAAGAGACAGCAAAGGTGATACAAATAAAATGCTAAGCTTTTATTTTTCCCTTCATCAGAAGGAGTCTGTGCTGCTGGTTAAAATATGTTCATTTAAAAAAAGCACAGACCTCCTTGATGAAGGAGAAAAACATAATGGGTGAAGCCAATGAATAAAATCACACAGATTTATATTCATTCGGAAAGCAGTCATTTCAACAGCATCAACAGGGAGGCAAAGTGTTGGAGCTCTGTACAGTGACTGATACAATTATTGTATTGCCTGATCCGTAATGCAGGCTTATAAAATAAAGATCATGTACTTTGGATGTATGAATGCGGATGCTACTGTAGCTAATGTGACGCAGCTGGTGTCAGGGAATCCCAAATATCAGTATGTTTTTGACAGAAAAAGGGAGAGAGCTTTCATGATTATGACGTGTGTAATGTGTACAACCAGTCTCAGTAAGCAAAGAGGCTCCACCTTAAGCCATCTCCATGTCATATGCCTATATGTCTCAATGTAACCAGAGAACCAATCAGAATTGATCTTTGTTAGCTTGTTCTATGAACTCTTTCGTTCAGTCCATGGGGGGAACAATGAGGGAAAGACACGTTGGCTTGTATCATCCTCTTTCCCCTACCTTTCTGTGTTCCATAGCAGAAAAAAGTAACATTTAATCCACTGCTGTAACAATACAAGCTTATGTTTCTCCAATAAGATGGTGGAAATGTGCCCAAAGGTGTGATATCACCATACCTCTACTTTTCTTTCTTTACCTCAGGGACACACAGACCAGGGAGGTGAGGAGGAAAGTGGATGGATACAAACTGTTGCTAACGATGGGGATGCGTGAGGAAGACAGAAAGAGAGAGCAGCACTTTGATGACATCCACAGATAACAAACTGAACCTGAGGACTTTTCTTTCATTTTCAGAGGACAGGTGCGTTTAGTGTGGCCTTTCTTTTACTCCTAGACCACATTGTTCATGTAGTATAGCTTTCCTAACACAAATCACATTTTGAAAGACTGCACTTATTTGGTCCTTGGAATTGAGAGAAGTGACACAGAAATGTCTATAGTGACATCGATGATAAAAGTCGAATGTTATATTCGACCCATGAATCTGGGTTTCTTTTCGTTTCATTTTTTCACTTTGAGAGCCTTCTTCTAATTGATCTTCTATTTTTCCTACACATCTTTCCTTGATCAAAGGAAAGGAAGAAAATACAAAGACAACACTAAGATTATTTAAGCACCGTGAATAGGTTATCTTTCTCCAAGTGAATCAGTATTGAGAAATGTGCCACAGAAAAGGAAAACAAAGTCCACAGATCACGTTTGGTCTGCTTTATCGGAGCTACAGATGAGCCTACAACATTAGGGATGAGTTGTGTAAGCAGAATGCTTAGCACTTAGCACTATTATGTTATTAGATCGGTATTAAATGCTAGTAAGTAGTCTCGTTAGAACTATGGGATTAATATTTAATGTAACAACTGAGAGACCTCATCTCCAGTTACCTCAATGAGAGGGGAAAGTGTGTGAGTCAAAAATGTAGAGGCTAGTTTTTGTAGCCTGTGGGAACGTTTTCAGATCAACTCGAGTTTCATATGTGTGAACGACCACATTTTGGTTTCCATAAGTCTGTGGATGGACTTGTGTTGTGGCTGTGTTACTCACGTATGTGTTGGGGTCCTGAGCCTGGGTCTTGGGGATCGGGGAGTCACAGTCAGGGCTGTAGTGCTCACAGTAGTCATAGGCAGCCTGGGGGTTGGAGGCGATCAGCAGTTGCTGGATATCTCCCTATGGAAGAAAACAAACAGATTCCCAGCTGCATCATCTATTACTGGGCATTATGTAAACTTCTATGGAGGAAAATATTATATTAATGTTTTATTTTACTTTTACTTACTTTTAATTATTCACATCTTACACTGCACTATAACTTTTATTCATGTACCTGTGTTATTCATGTTTTATTATCAAGGTTCAAGGCTTTTATTGGTCATACGAACATAGCTACAGTGTAGTTATGACGATGGAAATCTTAGGTCACAGGCTGCTCCAACAGTGCAACACAATAAAACAGAAACACAGAAACAAATAGTGCAGGTAAATAGTAAATACAAAAAGAAAAATAGTAAAAAAGTGAAATAGTGCAATAAGAGTATATGCAAGTGATTGGAATGATATATTAGATACATCATTTCTAAGTAGCAGCCATTTAATAGTCTTCTGGCCTGTGGGATGAAACTGTCCCTGAGTCTGGTGCTTTTAGTCCTGATGCTGCGGTACCTTTGCGTTTTAATGTTTCTAATGTGTTTTATGCTCTTAATGTCTTTCCTTTTTGTAAAGCACTTTGAATTGCCTTGTGTTGAAAAGTGCTATATAAATCAACTTGCCTTGCCTTTACTTCAAAGATAGTACTTTGTATGCGTAGATTAGAACAATCAGTTAAACCATGAACAGCGTCCCTCGCAGGTTATCCCAAAAAATGGCCTTACCTGGAAAACCTCCTCATCGAGCAGACGGGCTCCGAACACTGTGATGCCGTTGGTGTCCACCTCTGCATGGTTGCCGCGGGGAAGGGGGCGGGTCATCTTCTTCTTGCAGTCCAGCAGCAGTGTCACATTTTTCTTGGAAACAGAGATAGCGATGCGATGCCACCTAGAGACAAAGAGGAGGAAGCGAAGGCGAATAAATTTGTACTCTGACTACAGGCCTGATTAGATAGGTCTCAAACCAACCCTTAAACCACATATACACTCCAACTCTCACACACACTGCCCCACCCCTATAATAACCCCAAACATGTCATCTCAACCAGTCACAAGCCGGTTGTTGCTGGTTACTGACTTGCCATCAGCCAGGTTGACGCCTCTGAACAGCGGGTAGTCCTCAGGGGCTGGCTTGCCGTTCTGGTCCTCGTACAGGAAAACAGGGGAGCGTCCCATTTCAATACCCAGCTGCTGGATGCCCTGCTCGCTGTAGATGGAGAGGAGGAAGGCCTGGAGACCAGACTGGGCCTTAACCAGGGCCATGATGGAGAAGTTCTCCGGGAATCGACCTATTGATGGTGGAAGGGAGGGAAGGGAGGAGAGAGGCAATGACAGAAAGAGAGAGTTAGATCATAAACATGGGGTGACTGTTTTAGGACAGGAAGAAATAAGAAAGAGGCAAAGTGTCAGGAGAAAGTGCTTTTAGAATAGCAGTGTTATTCCCTCAGGGCATAGGTGATAAAGACACATAATAACAGGTGGGCAGAGATGGAAGACTAAACTTTAGAAAATGAGTCGAAATCAACATTGACTTTTGAGGATTTATTCACAACCACATAAGTGCTACTTTCTCTTTATTGCTCCTCACTCCAGTGTGTCAGACAGTATCCTTAAGTTACTTTCTTTTGGCTCTCCCACAAAGCTTCACTCAACTCCTGCACTGCACCACGTAATTATGCTTTATATCCATGAGCAATCTAGCCTCACTAAACCCAAGAGAGCTGAGTTTAAAATACCTCCAAACATAAGTAGCAACCTGTAATTCTAATGATAGGTCTCTGCACTCTGGAATGCATCGTAAATATGTTAAATATAAAGATTATCCTGTCCTTTTTTTACTGCTACTACAAAGTCAAAAAGTCTGTCAAAAGACATGCATGAATGCATGTTTAAAACAAACAAACATTAACATTAAATAACATTTTATAGAAAAAAAACAAGTTGCATATTTGAGCCACTATCAGACCTACAATGACATTTCAAGGGAGGCTTAAAGATATGATCACCGCATGCACGAGCCTCAGGGAAACAATACATTACTGCATTCTAATAGCTGGATTTTATTTGTATTATATCATGCAGAGTAAACTGCATAGCCTAACATTTGTTCTCTTCTTTTTCCCTTGAGAAAATACTTCGCCCTTATATTGTAAACCTTACTGCTTTGGCAATATTGTACCTCATTTCAGTCATGGCAATAAAGCTACGTTTGAACTTGAAGGTTAAAAAGAGGAAACAAAAATAATGAACAATCAAATAAAGAGCCAGCTATTCATTCAGTTGCTCTCCAATTAAACAATTCTGTAAAAATAAATGCATAATTACATTAGCAAATTGAGCAAAAGGGATTATTTAGTTCACTAATCAGGAGTATTCAGCCAGTTAAACATATCATGATGTCCTCTGTGGCTCTGATTGGAGCTCCTTAAAGTCCTCCAACATGATGGAAATGCAAAAATAAAGTACTCCTTTAAGTCAGTCATATTGAAATGAAGATTTCTACTTGTTTTCAATATCTTGGAAACGTTGTATTTCCATATAGTCCAACGATCTAATCCCCCCATACGGGACTGTCAGCCTACCTGAGAACAGCTGCTTGGTGGGGGCAGAGATCTGGGCCTTCTTGCTGATGCGGTAAGCATGGTCGGGGGTGCCGGAGCGGCGGGACGCGCAGAAGCCGGGGACTTTCTTCACGCCCTCAGGGAGAGAGGGAACCTGCAGAGCCCGCAACACATCCACTGGGTCTGAGGAAGAGAGAAATACTGTCATTAAATGTTGTTTTACATTTCAAAACGTAAAGCCTAATGTAACATCAGTCGATTACATGCATTCCTCGATACAGGATCTTTGACACCTTTTTCTGGCCATTAGCACTTTCTGTAGATGTGGAGGGGACATACGGAATATACACATTGATTGAAAACACAATGTATCACTCATTAATCATTCAATATTGACTCCCTTTTCTGCAAAAGCCTCAGAAGGCCTGCCATCCTGTAAACCTCAACACCTTTAAATGTACTCCTATACTTTTGCACTGTTGAGGTCAGTTTCACCCGTCATTGCAGCCATTATTTTGCAGTTGCAGAAGCCTAACTTTGGATAAAAAAAGTGAATCTTGCAAGTCATCTTAAATGTTCTTGCAGGTCTAATGCGATATAGGAGCAGGTACAGGGGATGTCCACAATGGAAACCACTGTATATATGTATAACGTAAGAAAGGAAGCACTGTGTCAAAGTAAACTGGCCAGAGTCCAAGCCACATACAGTTAAGCTGAGTTTAAGTCTGAGTGCAGACAGCTGCCTCTATTCTGCTCACTTTTATCAAGCAACAAGTGGCTGTTGACGTGATAGTGCTGAGTCAGGTGAATATTTGAGGACACACAAGCATCTAACACACTCCAGGTATTCAGTGTACACAAATACACACACAAACTGCCCAGCCTCACATCCTGTCTCCACTCTCACACGCTGTGGTCTGTTTCTCCACCCTCAGTCTGCACCTCCATGGCTTTCTCACATTGCTCAAAGGCACTGCGTCAGTCTGTGTGTTTCAGTTTGAAATGTATGGCTGTGTTTTCTGAAATGTACGGTTTAATTTCCTTTATGACCACCAGAAAAAACTCAACTGTAAGACAAGTTGGATTAAAGCAGCCATGTTTCTTATGTTATATTCCATTTCATGGGATACTATACATTACATAGAAATAAAAAGTAGCAAAACTACAGAGGAAGAAGGAAAATCAAAGTCACGGGTACTAATTTTGCAGATATATAAAAATAAAAAGTCCTCTTAAGTCTTTATTATTGTTTTGGATTGAATGAACTGATCATTTAAAACACAATATATATTTAGTTTGACATACTTGTCAGCACTTATGTCACCACAGGAGTTCAATCTTTAAAAACAATGGATGTCACATGCGTTGCGAACACTTTTGCTCAGTCTGGTTGTGTGTTGCTTTATACATTTCAGTATCACGCTTTTTGGGATATTTGTTCAGAAATGGGTTGTTTATGCTGCACATTTTTATGGTGTAACTTCTCCCAAATTGCCGAGCAGACGTACCCTGCTATCAGGATGGAATGACAAATATGCATGACTTAAATTCTGCCAAGATTTCAAAATAGAATGCTTGCAAACTGTTCAAACTCAGAAAACCCAAATCTAAATGTAATTCAAAGTCATCATAGACAGTTAGAACATGTTGATGGGTCCCTATGGTTTGAAACATCACCCAGTATTCATATTTTCCCAAACTCAGTTATCCTGCCTCCCTCTTGGCTAGCCTTCCTGTGTTTGAGGTGCTCCAGAGAGCGAACTCTGCTGTTAACAGCCAATGAAAGTAATTTACAGCCGGCCCTGCTCTGGCCCTTCTCATAATAAACTTATGGTGGCAGTGATGCATTGGCTGTGTAAAAACTACAGCTCTAAAGAAAACATAACAACCGGGCCCTCCTGCAATGCGGCCTATGAAGTTACCGGTTTGCTTTCATTCAGCAGCCACTTTAATAAACTGTCATTTACAGGTATGGAAAAATCATATAAGTGCATATAAAACCATATAAATGCATATAAATGACACAGGGAGCCCATTAGCACTTGGGCCACTGTTGTTACATACTTTATAATAACTACTTGTACATTAAATGCTGTAAAGTGCAAAGGTCAGCAGGAGGCACAGCTGTCATCAGAAACCAACATATAGAGCCACAATCAAAGACTCACAGCACTTTATAATAAAACAGAAACTAACATGCATGATTTTTTATAAATCTGGCAACTAACTTAATTTTCATGGAATGAGGATATTTTATATTGGGTTCCATTTTGAAGTTTTCTTTTGTTTGTCCTGAAACTCACACTGATCCCATCAGTGGTGCTCGTGTTTAGGTGACACCCAGTTTCTGAGAGTTAACAGTTAGTCACATCGGCCCACAGATGGTAAAATGTATTCAGACAGAGCAAACGGTGTGTTCATATCACTCTCATGGTGTCTAGACCACAGGCAATTAACGTCACTCGACACCAGAGGCAGACAGAGGAAGAGGATGGGGAGAAAGAGATGGATGTATGAGCAAGCAATATGCAAGGAGGAAAGAAAGTGTGTTGGATTGAGTGGTGTTGTGATGCTACATTAACCATCCTTAACAGACACGTCCCTAATACCAGTAGATTTAGGCAGAAATGAGTAGTTATCAAAGGTAGAAAAAAGGGAGAATTGTTCAAGAGTTGTGCTTTTTTCCAGGCGTCAATCTCTAGTTAGTCCATCAAATGTTATAATATTCAAAACAGGAACCTTTATAAAAGGACAGAAGAAAAGAAATACACTTTTCATGGTTTTCCTGCCTTTTTTTTTAGAGGGCACTGAATTTGTTTTCCACTTTTTTCAAAACTTTTGCACATCTTCACAGGAATGCTGGGAATGAGAAAGAGGTCGAAGGAGGAAAGGAGGGAGAGAGAGGTTCAGGCAAAGGTGCAGTGTGTGTGTGTGTGTGTTTTGGGGGAGGTCAGGGAGTGACAGTAGACAGCGTGGTTCTGTGATGGCAGGATACTGGATCAGATTGCAGACCGAGCCCCACCAGTAAACCCAGTACAATGTGCCGCTCTGTTCCCCGCTCACATCTGCAGCCCTTCCTGCCCGGAGGACCACAATCACGACAAAAACACACCCACAAAAATAACACGCAGGGCCACAGAGGTGCACACTCACACTGCCGGGGCAGGACAAACTGCAGCGACACACCTCACGAGATGAGGAGAGGCAAATATGAAACAAGGTAGAAAAACAGAAAGTCAGGGGGAACAAACTCTCTCTCTCTACTTTCTTTTTCACCCTCGGCCTGCTCCATCGGCCTCTCTTGCCATAAGCGCTCACAGATGGCTAGACTCTTTTGATGTAAACGCGGGACAATTACACTGCAGTCATTAAGACAGGAAACACGGGAGGCAGGTGCTGTAGGCGGAGATTACAGTAGCCGGTACAGTGATTCCCACTGACAGCTGCTAAAATAAATCAAAAACCATGTAAAGTACATGTGACACTGATTATATAACACTAATGCAGAGCCTTCATGACTTTTACCTGATGGTTTTGAGATTTAATTGAATTTATTTTTCAAATACGGGGAATAATCTTGTATAGACTTTTCTTTCTAAACATTTTCATTTATTGTATTGGTGTAGTGCAAACAGCTAAACTAAACTACACCTTCAAAATTGAAAAAAGGGATTGTGAGATGAGATGTGCCGGCATATATACATTTGAAATCGCGTCAGTATATTTTGAAAGTTTGAAAAACTCTTTGCAGTATTTAAAAGCTCAAATCAATGCTTATGGTCAATATATAGCTCATATCTACAATTTACCAACATTTCAAGAAACTCAGAAACACCAGGTGTGACTTTCGTACATCCTGAATAAAGTAAAAATGTTCTTAGTGTTTGATTCATTGAGGTAGTATGCAAACCACTGAAAGTGGTATAAATATAATCAAAAATAATGATATGCCGTTGGTGTATAATGGTGCACTGTACTGCATGTTTTCAACAGGTGTCTCAGGTCTGAAACAATCCAATCATTGTTACACTCTAACCCACTCAGAAGCACACAGCCACAAGTGAGCAAACATGCAGACCGCCAGCCTAACACAACCTGATAGAAAACACATGTGATACCCAGGGTGGCAATCACACTGCAGAAGGGCTCGTGCTGCTTAAACTGCAACACTTTTCGTTTGCAGGATTGTAGTTTCTCTCTATCACCACTAGATGGAGCTAAAAGTGATTGCAATCAAAGTCACACACTCACATGAGTGAGAGGTGCAAATGCTTACTGGATAAATGACTATAAAGCACATAGGCTGTACATACTGTCAGGTAACAGGGTAAACAACTCTCACACACCTCTTCTGTGTGAATACAAACAGCTTGACACACATACACACACACACACACACACACACACACACACACACACACACACACACACACACACACACACACACACACACACACACACACACACACACACACACACACACACACACACACACACACACACACACACACACACACACACACACACACACACGCTGACACGGTTATTCAGCTTGTTTCATTTCTCATTTAGACCACATGAAGCATTTAAAAAACACTAATATTAATAATAAGAAAAGGGTATTCACATTAAAGGTAGCATATAATTATGATATTCCATATATATTTAATACATATATTATATATTCTTATTCCTTGAGCTTGAAAAATACACTCTTTTGTGATGTATTAAAATACTGTGCAATTTTTTCTATGTTGAAACTTGAATAAATTACACACACATTCAGATCTATCACTCCAGACCTGTGTGAGGTGACAGCTTTGTGATTTTCAGTTTACTTTTGAAGAAAGTCTGTATTTTCTCCCCTAGACTGTCTGCCATACGGACAATTTCAGTGTGCACGATATGTACAGGTGTGTGTGCACGTATGTCCTTTCCTCTTTTGGTACAGCTGTGCCAAATACCAGACACACACTCCAGCTGACACGTTGACCCCTCACCTCTCACCTCTACACAACAAGCACATTGTTAGACACACAGAGCAAGAGGGACATGCAATATTGACCTGCGTATTAACACACACACAAACACACACAGATGCACAAATTCATCTGAACACCAATTTTTGTGTCAATATTTGAGTCTCCTGGCATTTTGAAGAATACACAAAGATGGCAGGATGT